AGAATCCCTACTGGCACAATGCCAATCACGTGCTCATTCCGTACTGCAGCAGCGACTCGTGGTCGGGCACGCGTACGGAGCCGGACACCAGCGACAGGGAGAACAGATGGCGCTTCATGGGCGCGCTGATTCTCCGCCAAGTCATTGCCGACCTCATCCCACTGGGCCTGGGCCGTGTGCCGGGCGGAGAGCTGCTTCTGGTTGGCTCCTCTGCCGGCGGGCTCGGGGTGATGCTGAATCTGGATCGCATTCGGGACTTTCTGGTCAATGAGCGGCAGCTGCAGGTCACGGTGCGGGGAGTGAGCGATTCGGGATGGTTCCTTGACCGCGAGCCCTACACACCCGCAGCGGTGGCCTCCAGCGAGTCTGTGCGTCAGGGCTGGAAGCTGTGGCAAGGCCTGCTGCCCGAGGACTGCACCAAGGCACATCCCACGGAGCCCTGGCGCTGCTACTTTGGCTATCGCCTGTATCCCACGCTGAAGAGTAAGTCTCGAGAGCATCCCTCAGCCAGAGAATCCTTCTAACTCCATTGTCTTCCCCTCCTGCAGCTCCACTCTTCGTCTTCCAGTGGCTCTTCGATGAGGCACAGATGCGCGCGGACAACGTGGGTGCTCCGGTGACGCCCCAGCAGTGGAATTACATCCACGAAATGGGCGGCGCCCTGCGCTCCTCCCTGGACAATGTCAGTGCCGTGTTCGCACCCAGCTGCATCGGCCATGCGGTGCTCTCGAAGCGGGATTGGGTCAACATTAAGATCGATGACATCTCCCTGCCCTCCGCCCTGCGCTGCTGGGAGCACTCGACACGCCGCAAGCGCAGCGAAAAGCTGAAACGCTCCACGGAGGCCTCCACGGCAGTCGGGCAGCATCCGCATCCGAACAACCAAAGACACCAGCGGCACCGCCAGCGCCAGCAGCGACAGAAACAGAAGCAGAAGCAGAACAATGTGGCACAGTCGACGGAGCAGCAGCCCCGGAAGCACAATCACCTCAGCAAGGAGCAGAGGGAGGAGCGCAAGCGGCTGCGACAGGAGCAGCGACAGAGACGCAAGCAGCGCCGCAGGCAGCAGCACAAGCAGCAGGCAGAGGACAGGGCCAAAAACAACAACAACAACAAGCCGAAGAGCAATGCCAGCGATACGCACAAGCAGCGGCGCCGCCAGCCACCACTGACGCCGGCAGAGCGACAGGAGCAGCGCCAGCGACGCCGCAAAGCGCAGCAGCAGCAGCAGCAGCAGCAGCAGCAGCAACAGCAAATGCAAATGCAACACGAACAACCGGCCGCTGGAGGGGTAGAGGGTGCAGATGCACTAGGAGAGCCCCAGAAGCGGCGTTCGTCGAACAATGCCTCCGCCTCCAAGTCAAAGAAGCGTCCAAGGGTGCCACGAGTGCCGGAGAAGTGCGGCTTAAGGCTGCTGGAGCGCTGCTCCTGGCCTCAGTGCAATCATTCCTGCCCCACGCTGACCAATCCGCTGACGGGCGAGGAGATGCGCTTCCTGGAGCTGCTCACCTCGTTCGGCCTGGACATTGAGGCAGTGGCAGCGGCACTCGGCGTCGATATGCACACCCTCAACAACATGGAGCGCACGGAGTTGGTCAATCTGCTCACCCAGCAGGTGAGCTGAGCGGAGCGAAAGAAGTAGCTCCCCCCCCCCTGTAAATAGTAAATAGGTTTGTACATAAATATATGTAGATGTAGCTAGAGCCGCTTTGTACATACCACAACCACAACAACAACAACAACAACAACAAAAACATCCAAAAAAGAAAAGAAAGAGAAAAAATCATCCCCCAAGCGGAGCTAAACTCCAATTCCTAGAACACGCCAAGAAAACCCAAGAAAAAAGACATGCAAAAAGGTAACCCAGTAATTAAGCAGACAATTATTTATACAACTAGTTTTCCCCCACTCCAACTCGTACATTCACACACACACACACACACACCCATATTTATTCATTCGCATTCAACACACACACACACACACACACAAAGAACCGAACACCCAACACGAGCACGAGCCGAAAGGATAATCTGCGTAACGAGAAACTAAACACAAAATGCAACCACAAGACTGTTTTATGTTTTTTTTTAAATATACAAATAATATATAGAAATATATGTAGCGTATGGTATACACGATAATAATGAATTTTTATATAATTTATTTGATAATTTAATGGGCGGCCCTGCCCCAGAGGATGGTACCTTGCTACTGTCCAGACTGTATTCCAGTTTGATTGTTTTATTTTTTATTTGCATCAGTTCTTCACCTACCTCAGGATCAGTAAAGAATGAAATTGAATTGATAGACCGAGCTGCCTTTAAACATACATAAACATACATCAAATAGATGGAACACACACAAAATAACAAATATCAATCATTGCGTACCTGTGCAACGACAAATCAAATACAAATCAAATACCTTAATAACTTACTTAATAATTACCCGCATTCCGTTCAAAATAATGTTACTTAAACTTACTTTTAAAACCAACCACAAGACGTGAAAGAGCAACAAGCGAAGCGAAGCAAAAGTGAACAAATCGAATATCAAAATAAAGAAACTAATTTAAGCAATGTTTGTAAAGAATTTATAGATACATAAACGTAAACGAAAAATCCCACAAAAATAAACACTAAACACACCTTAATATTAATATACCTTCCCCCTAGTGACGTAAGCCCCCCCCCCCCCATTCCCTGTACAGAACTGGTTGAAGTTTAGCCCTAAGAATTGTTGTACTTAAACCCTTTGATAATTTTATACTATGTCTGCCACGAAGCGAAGTAGTGTCCAAAGCTAATTGACTTGTTACAACCATTAGCTCTTGTTCACAGTGTTCAAATTGAACTGAACTGATCACCGATCACCGATCACTGATTACCATCAAGATGGTAGCACACTTGACGGAGCATAATCATACAAACAACAGCCACAATAAACAAGCAAAATAATTTTAACCAAACATTTTTCAATTTTGGGATTTACTTTTTTACAGCGAAAAACATAATTCCCCTGGCTTAAATCTCTGAGATAAACTCTGAGATTAAACTGCTGTATACTTTTGAGCTGCATCGTTTATATCCTTAACCATTTTCTGCGCCTTGAATCCCGCTACAGATACGTTCCCAGAATGTTTGAACTAGCAGCAGGAAGCAGCTGGCGCTTTGTCTCTGGCATGGAGAAATACATCGGATGCTAGGGGGCACTTCATTGCAATATTTTAATTATTTTGTGAGAAAGCAGTTGTCGACTTTGCGCAGGTTTCCTTATCTTTCACTCACAATAGGAACTCAACAGATTCAACAGTTCAAATTGAACATTCGAGCGAGCGAATGGAGAGAAGCTCAAATTTTGAAATACAATTTTTTATTCAAGTTCCTTCACCTTCGACATGCTGTCTCACATGCCTGCTTGGTGCACCACCGATTGTCATTGCCCCCACAGCCCTTGTACTCCATTTGGACGCACGTCCTGTTCAGTGCCGCATTGTAGTTCCACATGACTCGGTTGGCCTGCTTTTTGCACCTCCTTTTGCTGTTATTTCCCTGATTCATCAAGCCAACGCATTTCGGGCTACCTAAGCACAAACACACAAGAGAGAGAAGAAATGAATGTGAGGAGCAATCAAGAGAAGGTCCATCAACCTACGAGGCTTTCCCTTGCAGTTCTGGGCTTCAACCATCTCCACGAGCAAATACATCACCAGTACAAGGCTTACGATGATCAGCGTGGAAGTGCGCATTGTGTCAGGAATCGGGAGCGGGAACGTGGGCTCTGATGTCTGGATGTTCCGGTAATGGAATAAAGACTCAATGGTTGGTTCTGTTGTGGGTCTTTATAAAGAGCAGTTTCAATAAATCGTGCGCTATTTGTTTTATCGCCTTTCAACTTAAAGCACACGTGCTTTGATGATCCACAAATAAACCACGGGAACAAAACATTGTATCTAAAAATAAGTAGAACAAAAGTGTGCACCGAAAACTTGTTGCTGCGCTTCTTTTATGAGAGTCTTTTCCCATTGCCTGGGCAGCAGAAAACTTTATTAGAGGTGTAACTACTGTATGCAGTACACCCCGTAGATACAGCATGAAATATTTGTCTTTGTTAATATGTAGAACATGTCGCCGGACAATAGCTTTATTCAGACTTGTGTGGCTTTAATCGGCTGCAAATGAGTCCTATATAAGCCCCGAAATCTGAACGATTCAACAGTTCAAATCGAACATTCGATCCAAGTCTTGTGAGAATGAAGTTCATTTTGGTTTTGGCTTGTCTGGCCCTCTACGTGGCCCACTCTGCTGCCCAGGACAACTGTCGCGGACGTCCTGGTAAGTGAAAACGATTTGATTGTCCACAGGACATTATTTTCATGCTTGTTCTGCAGTGTTCCAGGTATGCACTGGCGGCAGGGATCAAGGCCACAGCCGTCATTTTTCGTGTCCAGCCAGATTCATGAACGAAATGTGGTGGTACGACTCCCGCTCCAGACAATGCCAAAAGATGAAATATTTGGGCTGTGGCGGCAACAACAACCGTTACTGCTCCCTCGACAGTTGCCGCAGGAAGTGCCGCTAAACGTATCCTTCGATCTTGTCTCTGATTCCCACAATAAATAAACAATAACTTTTCACAGCACATTTTTGACTATCATTATTGTTTGGTGGATGAATGGCAGAAAGTACTTTTTGTACTTTTTGTACTTTTTATACAACAACAAGCAGTTACATTACCCTTTTGACTCTTAGTTCTACAAATTACCTTCCGAAAAAGTTGTTGGATGCAACATTTTGATTCGAAATGCAAGAAAAAAGAATCCTAGAACAAACAAGAACACTGTCGACTGTCGATATTGTCGATTTGTTAACACCAAGAAAGGGTTACCCCATTGCCTTTTGTTGGGATATTTTTGATGTACGACCGAACCAGCTAGAACCGTATAAATAAAGCCTGCATCGCGTTCGATTCAACACTTCAAATCTGCTGCCGTTGAGTATGAAGTTCATATGGATTTTCGCTGGTCTGGCACTTTTTGTGGCCCACAAGTCTTATGCCCAGGTGTACTGCGCTGGGCGACCAGGTAGGCAGCGATGATTTTCCAGCTTTAACGCTTAAAAGCTAATAAGTATTTATGTTTCCTTAGGCATACAGTTGTGCAAAGGCCTCAGGGATGAAGGCAACAACAACCGAGGGTCGTGTCATACCAGAGCCATGAGAGAAATGTGGTGGTACAACGCACGCATCAATGACTGCGAGAAGATGCGATTTCTGGGCTGTAATGGCAACAACAACCGTTACTGCTCCCTCGGCAGCTGTCGCAGTAGGTGCAAACGCAACTAAAAAAAAACATAAAATAATAATAATAATAATAATAAAAGAGCACCAGCATACAGAAGACCCCATTTGTATCTATGTTTTGTTTGTCAGAATTGCAAGTGCAGCTGAATGCATATTTCAAATTCGATATACATTTCGAACAACCGAACTGTCACTCTATCGATAGTTTCATAGCATTGCACCAGTTTTGACTACGAAATTGAGTTCATTGTATATCTACGGTATATCGAAATTTAATGGTATATTCTGTGCGTTTCCTCCGTTATTGCCTTCCATTTTTAAGGTATATTCAGGTATATGGAAACATTCCAAGAAAAGGAACTCGTAAAAACTAGCCTTTTGTGGCGAATTGATTGATCAATCGGATAAAATTATAGCTTGAGCGCGGAGACTCCTAATTAGCTGGTAATATTAAATTGAACATCAAAAACAAGGAATATGATTTAAGAGTACGGTATATTTACGGTATATTTCGGTATATTTTGAGGCTTTATCGGTATTTTATCGATAATTCCGCACTGCACTGCACGTAACTTTTGGCCAAACAATTTTTAAAATTTTGATAATAAATCATGATAATACTGAATAAAGGCTCACTCCTCAGGCAGATCCTACGGCGCTGTCACAGCGAAGGTGAGTAATATAAAATAATTGACTGGAATCATCGATGGTAACGCTTGCGTTTGGTTTTAGTGGCTGCCTGCAGCAAGGTCACTAGCCCCTTGACTGCATTCTTTGGGAAGTGGCCGGAAGCGGAGCAGCAGGAGTTTGTCCAACACATGCGCATCATCCCTGACTTCATCACCGAAGCGGAGGAACAACAGCTCCACGAAGAGGTTGAGCCGTACATGAACCGCCTGCGCTACGAGTTCGACCACTGGGACGACGTGAGCACACACAAAAACAACAGCAGACCGGCTCGGAGTTTATGTATTTCTATCTTGCAGGCCATACACGGTTTTAGGGAGACTGAGCGCAAGAAGTGGTATCCACATAACCGCGATGTCCTGGAGCGTGTGCGTCAAGTGGCCTTCGATGGAGCCATTATGCCTTACATCCATGTGCTGGATCTTGCCGCTGACGGTGTCATCAAGCCGCACGTGGACAGCACAAGGGTAAGCACACCCCGATCTACTGCCCAAGCAAAACTAACATAATTCGAATTTACAGTACTGCGGCACCACCATCTCGGGCATCAGCCTGCTCAGCGACAGCGTAATGCGTCTCGTGCGCACCGATGCCCAGAAGTACCAGCAGCCCAGCATTGAGATATCGACGGAAGCCAAGAGCCCCGACTCTGATGCAGTATATGGCCATCGGCGTTTTCCAGAGGCATTGCTGGAGGATGGTTTTTACGCAGATCTGCTGCTGCCGAGGCGCTCGCTCTACATAATGTGCCACACGGCTCGCTACAACTTCACCCATGAGATACTGGCCAAGGAGCAATCTGCGTTCCTCGGCGCACCCATACCAAAGGCACGTCGCATATCCATCATTTGCCGCAACGATCCATGATGATGACCTCGCTGCGAGAATGCTGATGGCTTAATGCGGAAACGCTTCCCTTCCTATTATAATTGAAGCGTTGAGACACATATATTCATCTATCCTTTGAGGAGGATATCCTTTCCTATATGGACAAAAATTCGTTTTCTTTTAAAAACCTAGTCTAGTCGCTCCTATTGTTAGTTGTACATATGTATGATTATTCCCCCTTATCATTATTGATGATCGACCGTGTATATAAGAAAATATAAGTTGATTTCAACGGACTGAGAGTCCACACAGACCATAATTTGATATTTGTATGCCATTCTGTTGATGGGTGCGGGTTCCTAGAGTTTATTTTTGTTCACTTACTGCATGATAGTGGATGCTTATTGCCTGCCCAATCCTTCTGCTCAATGAAACAAACTAAGCAAAAATTCGTACGAAGAATCCTAGAAATTGTTTTCTTAATTAATGCAAGGCTGGCTGCAAAAATCTAGTCGAACGACAAAGAATACTTTGAGAGATCTATTCATGAATAAATTTATACAAAGCCGGCAACAATCTTTGATTTAATCCCTTGTGTGCCATGAAAACCCAAAACCTTTGGTGACAGCTGTAAAACTGAAAGGGAAAGGTGGATTGGTGCGGCCTTTGTTAGCGGGCAGATTGGGCAGCGACTGCTGCTGCTGCTGCTGCTGCTGCTGGCGGTAACATCTTGGCCAGCCTGAGACAGGACACTACCGAATTGCATAAACAATGAGAGGTTACGTAAAAACGTATTTGTGATTGTGCAAAATCCCTTTGTATCCTACGTATCTGCACTCGTGACTTGCCCGAGTAATTTGCGCAAACATTTCTTGCAGTAAATCAACAAAAGAGCGATTGGGTCCAGGTAGGGGACAATGGACTCTGCTGTCTTACATACAATTGCATTTAGAGCGCACACAGGACGCATGCATCTGTGTCCAACACAGAAGTCCTGCTGCGCTTTGTCCTGTGCCCAGGCGATAAGCATCTGCAGCGCCGCTGTCCAAGTGTCCTTCTGAAGCGCTTCCACCCAGAAAAGGCGCTTAAAAGGCATGACTCTGCGGGGACACAGAGAATCTAATGGCCCACCGTGTGTGTAAGAGCATAGCTACTAAATCACAAATGCCGACACCAAAAGTGCTTAGTGATGAATCGCAGAGGTGAGTTTGATGATAGGAAATCAAAAGAGAAAGGCTTAACCCGTGGTGTTGAATAATCTTTGCTGCTTCCTGTTGCATATTATTTCCTGCTTCCTCCTTTTGTTTTTAATGTTTTCACACACAAACACATAAAACAAAAAATAAAACAAATTAAAAATTAAGAAAGCGAAAAGATACTTAAATCCGATCTGCATTAGTCGCACTGATGATATATGTAAGTAATTTCACAAGAAACAAATTATTTTGGCACATTTGCACGTGCGTTGCATTTTCGCGCACACCGCTAAACACACGATTTACTTGACCGCTTAATGAACCGGGGGAGAACTGAGTAAGCTGTGATAAGCATGAGCATGCGTCTGCAGCTCAACCCAGTACATCGGCCTTCGTTTCTTATCTCTCGGAAGCTCATAGCAAGAACGAGAGCGAAAGTTGGTGGCCGAACAGTGCGTTTGTATGTGTTGGTGGGAAATTGCAAGCTGCGATAAGAGCGCATCAGCGTCGGCCCAAAGCTTTTCCCTCCCCAGCAAAGAACGAGTCAAAGCTAGTGGCGGGACAAGAGCTTCGCTTATGTATGCACGTATTTCTGTATGCAAATATGTAAGTCATGTCACGAAAGTGGGTGGTGAGAGGGTGAAGCAGAGTAGCGTCTGCTAGACAAAGCTTGGTATTGGAAGCTATTTTTGGTGGCATGAGGCCCATTTTTGTAATGTTACGCTCTTCTATTTTCTCTCTGTTGGATTGTTAATATAGTTTTTGGAAAATAAAGCGGGGTTTTCAATCTTATCAGTTAATATTCATGTCGTATCTTTTAATAATTTACATACATACTGAACACAAAGCTCCATTACTTCCACAAGGGGTGATTTATGTGAAAAATTCAAATACAAATTTCTAAAATATAGGGTCATAAGTATACAATCCAATGAAAATGTGTATCTACAATAAGCCAAATTGATTCTTCAAACGGATTTAATTATTGTTTTAGTGTTAAAAGTCTTTAGTAGCTAGTAATATCAAATAGAACATCGAAATCGTGGAATGGCATTTAAGACAACGGTATATTTACAATATATTTTGAAGATGCAATGGTATATTTTATCGATAATTCGGATTTCACACTTAGGGCTGTCAAATATTTAAAAAATAGCATATCTGTGATATATTTGGCTTGCAAAAAATTTCAAAATCACTGCAAAAATATGGATATATTTGACATTATTTTGCTTGTATATATTTACTGAAATTAAATTTCTCGCGCTGCGGAAATAAATAGTTTCGAAAGAGAAAACACAAACCTTACATATGTTTGTAACAACTTTAATCCTTATTCCACATTTCTGTGTTTTAATTTGACTTATTCAATTATTCTTCGCTTTACATATATAATTCTTTTGAGTAAGTGTTTATGGTTTTTGGTTCAAAACACCCACATACTCTTTCACAGTACGAAAATATCGCAAAACCATATCAATATATTGATATTTTGGTGAAAAAAAATCACGATATAAATATATTTTTATTTTACAAAAATATCGATATATTGATATATATTTGACAACCCTAGCTGGTAGTGACCGGGAAAAACTCAAACAAGCAGTTCTTGCCCCGCGCCTCCGACAACCTTGACAGCCACAAATTTTGTTCAATTTTTGACGGCGTCGGAGCCCAAAGTGAAGTCAATGCGAGCGTAGCTTAGAAATCTAGAAACACAAATTATTCGAGTGCTGGCGAGACGCAAATGTGTTGTAAAATTTGATAGTCAAATGAATTCTGCGTAAATTGTGTAAAGTTTGAGTGTATTTGTGCCGTCTTCCAGCGTCAGGTTTTAATGATAAAATTTGCCTTTGAGTAAATGTAAATGTGTGCGCTGAGCATAGCCGTGCGTATGTGTTGGTGCGAGCGTCGAGCATAAGAAATCGAGTCGACGACAAGCCGAAGCGAACGCAAACGACGCTTAATAAATATCGCAGCTGAAGCGAACGAGATAAAAGAGAGAAACGCGCAAAGAAGTCACCATTTTTACTGCAAGGAAGCTGAATTAGAGGCGAAAATGGCCAGTTTCCAAATACTACACGACCTTAACAACAAGGAAAATCCGGGGAAAAGTGGTCCGGGTGTCCTGAAGGAGAAGAATATGGGTGCCAGCAAGCAGCCGCTGGCCGTGATCGGAGGCGGCGGTAAGGAGAAAATTGCACTGGGCCCCCGCACCAATTTCGCTGTGCTTAATTCAAACAACAATAATGGAAATGTGCAGCGTGTTCAAGCAGCGCCATCAGGGAAAGTGGTAAGTCCCGAATAGCGCAGTTATTTCCATTCCAGTCTGTCCTTTTTGTTGTTGTTTGTGCCGTGCGCATTCTAATGCAGCTGCTGTCTCGCTACCCGAGCGTGTTGGTGGTGGGATCTTCCCGTACATGCGTGTGTGTGTATATTTTTTGTGTGAGCAGCCTGCCTGCCTGCCTTGCGAAGGGAGCGCCCTCGATCCCCTGGCATGATAGCGGTGGTTGTTCTCCGCTTGTGCAGCGCTCTCTCGCAACGCTATGCGCGATTAGGTTGCATGTGCCCACTCCTTCCACTCAGGGGATAACCTCTGCTAATTGTTCGCGCCTAACCTAAAACTAACCTAGAAATTGCACATCCATGTAATTGCAACACTTTGCGCGCCTTTTTCCAAGAGAATACGTAGAGAAAGAGAAGATGAAATGCAATTACAACGCACACTAACACACTCTTGAACACTGTGGGAAGCCAGCTAAAGGCGCGCACAGCAGCAGCAACGTGAGACGTAACAGGATTATTCCAACGAAAGGAAGAGAGCGAGAGAACCGCAATTGGTGCACTGTTGCTGTAATCGTTACCCCCTTCTTACACAGTCTAAGACAACACACGCGCACACTGATCCAAATGAACATTTTTTGTGTATGTTACGTTACAGCAATTCTTTCGCGACGTTAAGAACATCAATACGGACGAAAACACTGACTACGCTGGCCTGGCCGTGAAGAAATCGAACGTAGTGCCCGTGGTGGAGCAGTTTAAGACATTCTCCGTATATGAGGACAACATCGACACTCAGGTGGTGCCGCCTGGCGCTGTCAAGAGTCAGTGCTCTGCCGCTGACAAGGAGAATCAGCACGACGCCAAGTAGTGAGTATGCTCGTGGACTCTTCTCCCCCTTTCCTTAACACAGCCGCCCCTCAACCTTCCGTACAGCAATGCTGTGTCCAAGGAGTTCTCCATCCAGCACGAATATGACCTCCAGGGCACACCCATGTCCGTCACCGATGTCATGTCGCCCATGTCTGTGGATCGTTCTATTATCGAGGTCAGCAGCTCCACTGACGACGGCCCGTCCCAGGGCACACAATTTGGAGCTGTCCCCTGTGTCCAGGCCAAGGAGCTGCCGCCTCGCAACGATCGCCAGCGATTCTTCGAGGTGGTGCAGTACCAGATGGACATCTTGAAGAACTTCCACGAGAGCGAGGTAAGTCGGGGGGTGCAAAGTAGCACAAAAATTACACAAAGATAAGAAAAATTGTCATCTAAAGGGAATCTTCCCCGTGAGTGCCTGCCTTGGTTTCCCCGCCCTCTTCCAGTGCTCTTACTCACATGTGTTGTGTCCGTGTGTGTGCACGCAGGCGCAGAGTAAGACACAAAGGCACGGACTGCACCCTGATGAGCGGTTTGTGTTGCTTCACGCGTCGCTGCCCTGACTATGTGTGGAGAGTCTTCCTCTGTCTTCGTGTGATCTTCGTCACATGCCCATGAGGCGGGAAACGCCTTTTGCTTCTTTTCTTGTATACCCTGTAAACGACAATCATTTCTATCCGAATTGTTCGATTCTAGCAGCAGACTTTTCCTCAGGTTACAGATACTTTTCTTTTACAACTATTAGTTCCAATTAGAGTTTATGTTTGGTGCTGTAGGAGTGTATGTCTAACAAGACAGTCGTAATGAACACTTGATCCAATTGAGGAATTACATTTAAAACTGATACAAATTTATGTGTTACTGGTGTCCTGGTCGCGACTCGGAACTTTCCCCAACTCTCTGCAGTGCTGCAACTGGGACTGGGCCGACTTCCAAGTCGCACTCGGGACACAGCAATGGTTCGAACTGCTTGGAACGTGTGTCTATGTGTGTGACTATAAACTAGCGAGAATTCTTGTTAAACTGATCGTAAAAATCGTCAAAGACGGCATTGTTTAGTTGCTCAAGCGAGTGCTTGCGCTGCTCGTCCTGCTCCACCGCCAGCTTGGCATTGGCCCGCATCAGATCATCGAACTGGTCCTTGCGCCGGCGATCTACCTCGATCTGCTTGAGCATCAGAGTGCGATCCATGTTGATGGCGTACTGCTCCCACTGCTTGTCCATGAGCTGTGCCTCCGTCTTGCGCTGGGCCGCATCCAGCAGCTGTTGTTCCTGGCCCTTGCGGAAGGCGAGCAACTCCTCGGGCGTCATGCCGCGGTACATGAAGGCGATCTTCTTGTTGGGATCGGTGCGCGACTGGGCCACGTCTGGGTTCTCCGTGAGCATGTCGCTGGACAGCATGTTGTATATCTCGGCCATGTCGTCCTCGTACTTCTCTCGCTTGGCCTGGTCGCGGCCCACCTGCTTCTGCTTGGCCAGATTGACGTTAAACTCGCGCACCTTGTGGATGATGTGGTTGCGCATCACATGCTCCGACTTGGCCATCTCCTCCAGATGCTTGTCGCGGCAGTTGATGTTCTCCATCAGCATGTTGTCCGCCTGGCGGCGTGCCTCCTCCGCCTGCTTGCGCTCGAGCACCTGCTGGTCCAGCCAGGCGCGTTGCTGCTCTCGCTGCCGCACCTTGCGGTCATTGTTGTACAGATCCTCGCCGGAGAAGATCTGGGCACTAGAGACGCCCAGTGTGATGTCATCGTCTGCGATACGCATGGGCTTTGCCTTCTTCAGATAGTTTGGGTCGTTCAGGTCGAACTCGCGGCGCTGCTCCTTGCGCTGGTACCGGCAGCGGTAGTAGTTGAGGTCCGAGTTGGCGACACGCGTCTGCATGTCCAGCTCCTTCTCCTTGGCCGCGATCAGGCGCTTCTGCAGCTGCTCCTGCTCCTCGTAGCGCTTGTCGCATTCCTGCTGCACGCTCCGCTGCTTGTTCTTCTCGAGGATTTGGCGCTCCAGCGTGTCGAGATCCAGCTGCACAGAAATCAGAGTAGGTGGAGGATGACTTACAAAACCCCACTAGAGAACTCACCCCGTACAGACGCTGCTTGGCATTGAAAATGCGCTTCTTGCGCTCCTCCTCGTACTGCTCGCGCTTCTGCAGCTTCATGGCCTCATCAAGGTCCGCCTTCGTGCAAATACCCAGCTTCAAAGTCATCCTGTGGCTGCTTCAAAATATATAATTTACTCTTCAAAGATTTGTCCGTTCTGAAAGTGTTTCTCTCTCTATCTGAAAGCAAATATTTGCCTCTGATTCGGAGTTTGAGTTTGTTTACCCGGTTGCCGGGTGTTCCGCTTCTCGTGTAGTCTCGTAGTTTGTTTGTTATTTGACGCCTCACTCCTATGATTCCATAGATACTCGAAATTTGTTTCTTGTACAGAATTGCAGATTCACTTCCAAATCAATGCCCATATCATTGGGTTCCGCCTGGCGCTTGACGTGTCCAATAATCGTTAAGGCGACCATTAAAAAAAACACCTAATGTACATAAATGAGTACTCGTAGTTCCCTGCATGGGCGGTTTGCAAATGATTTTCTACCCACTTCTCGATGCGAATTGGCATGCCCCCCACGTACCTCACGAAATAACCAATAAACAAATATAAATTAGTAAATTCGATTCTCTCTTTCTCTGACCGCCCTTACCATGTGAAGCAGGGAGTGGAGTTGTTTCAGTTTTTTTGGATTTGGGGTTTTGGTCATGCGTGAGAGATACCCCTTTGTCATATGCTAGCTTCAGGGGTATAATGGAATCGTGGGTGCATTATTTCTCGGGGGAAGACCATATCTTGGTTCCTCTTTCAAGCTCAAGTATTTCAACCATTCTTTGCCCAACAAATTCCTAGAATTATGTACCCAAATTCACACTTGTTGTTGGCTCTTCCTATAAGCATTATTATTTACTTAATCTTTACCTAATCGCTCATTATTTTGTAGAAAAAACGTCGCCCAAAGCGTGAGTACATGCGCAAGCAAAAGGACATCAATTACAATATGCGCTCGATCCTGGTCGATTGGCTGGTGGAGGTGTCCGAGGAGTATAAACTGGACACGGAGACCCTCTATTTATCGGTCTCCTACCTTGACCGCTTCCTCAGCCAAATGGCAGTGGTGCGCCCAAAGCTCCAGTTGGTTGGCACTGCGGCCATGTACATTGCCTCGTAAGTAAAGTCCAACTTGCTCTTGTGCACTTTTCATCTTTATGGCACTATTACTTTACAGGAAATACGAGGAGATCTATCCACCAGATGTGGGTGAGTTTGTCTTCCTCACCGACGACAGCTATACCAAGTCGCAAGTGTTGCGCATGGAGCAGGTCATACTCAAGACGCTCTCCTTCGATCTGTGCACCCCAACGGCTTATGTGTTTATCAACACGTACGCTGTCATGTGCGACATGCCCGAGAAGCTGAAGAGTCTGACTCTGGTGGGATTCTTACGTTTGCGTTTTAAATCTTCAATTTCTAACTTTGGCCTCGTTTTGTTTTGCAGTTCCTGTGCGAGCTGGCGCTTATGCAGGGAGAACCGTACTTGGAGTACTTGCCATCGCTGACGTCGGCCGCTGCGCTCGCCATGTCGCGTCACATACTGGGCATGGAGATTTGGACTCCGCATCTGGAGGAAATCACTACCTACAAACTAGAGGACTTGAAGACTGTGGTGCTCGAGCTGTGCCAAACGCACAATACGTCCAAGGAGCTCAACACCCAAGCCATACGGGAAAAGTACAATAGGGAAAAGTAAGCAGCGAATAATTCTCTGGAGATTTCAAGATACTTATCCTACATTTATTACTCCTTGTCCATACAGGTACAAGAAGGTAGCTTCCATCGAGACAATCCAGCTGACTGAGAAAGATTTTGATCAGCTCTTGCAGGGCTATATTGCCAAGCAGAAACAGGAGGAGGCGGATATCAATTCCGCATCGGAAGTTAATTTGTTTTATAAGTTTTAAGTGTTCGGTCCCCTGGCCCTCTGCCACGGTCAAATTGTATTTTAGTTTAGTGTTCCATGTATTATTTGTAGTTTTAGATCTAATTGTATTTAAATGAGAAATTGATAGGAGTCGGAGTCGGAATCGGAGAGAACAAAATAGGAAGAAAAGACAGCGAAGATAAAGTAAGTGGCGGATCGGATTGACAAGCTTCCGTAACATGTAATGGACAATTTTATATGCCTCGCCATATAAGAGATTAGTCAACACTAAAATAAACAGCTACTGTCCACGGTGAGAGCTTGCACAGCCGCCACATCACGCCAAGGGAGATCAGAAGCTGCAGCAGTTTTTAGGAAAATCGAACCAAGAAAGAATATGAAAGAGAACCACAAGCAAGGCCCAAGAACTGCACTCCATTTGGATAGATACTAAATATTTTACTGTTTGAGTTCTTTTTTTGTGTTTTTTTGATAAAGAGTATCACATGTACTGTATTAAATGTGTCTTTTAACCATAATCGTACGCACTAACAGCTAGCTTCAGATATTTTATTACATATTTATATACGTACTAACTAGTTAGGCTATAAATGTTCTGTGAACCACGCAACAATTGTAACAAATACACACACAAATCCATTTTACACCCAGACACTTAATAGGTTTTACTTTGCCCCCACATCACAACACAACACCAAGATACAGAACAACCAATCATCAACAATTGAACACAGAACTTAGACTCCATGACACACACAAACATATCTGAAACCAACGACGCTTAGCAGGTATTTGGCTTAGCGATGCTTCTACAATTATAATATACATAGTACGATCTACTAACCCCTCAAATGTAACTTGATAATAGCATTGCTGCTAGCGCGCTCGCCTCTCAAGCTTCATATTCCATATAAACGTATTGTACTCAATAAAATTGTGAAAGTAATGCACAAGAAATGAATTTTTGATTGATATTTTCTTGAAGTTTCCCTAGGAAGTTATAAATATAACTCCTTATTTGTTTGGGGTCATAATTAATCGGTGGATAATGCTCATTTACGCATAACCTTGACAATACTTTTAGTCAGCGTCTGTATAGTGTGATTTCGTGGAGCTTTAAGTTCTTGGATGCTCTCATTAAAAAAAGAGTTTCATAGTTCAATCTTGAACATACTTACAAGCAGAAACATAAAACCGAAAATAGCGGGTCTAAAATTTCTTTACTCCGTGTGAAATCGATTGGTATTCGATGGGGGGGCATTGGATTGCCCATATAAAATGCATATGCAAATGCAAAGTCAAAAGGTTCAGCGACAACAAATTGTACAAGCACACGGGAAAATGCAAATTTGGTATTTCCTTTTCGTTAACACTTGTTTTTATTCACAAATAATAAAAAAAAGAGCTACAACAATTAGCACGGATGGTGGGTGTCACATGTTACACATTTGCTTTTGATTGACTCGAACACATCGCAACCCTCGATGCATGGAGACGATGAGGTGATGATGGTTTAGGCAAACATGTGAACATGGAAAACATTACAAAACCGAAATGCAAATTCTTTCTCCAACGCAAGTTAACCCAGGAATTTTGGCAGGAAGGGTCCCAAAGGACGCTGGGCGCACTCCCTCTAGTAGGCGAATCGGGTGTCCGGGTGGAAGTTGAGCTTGTCCAGCGCTGGGTTGCAGGCAAAGTTGATCATGGGTGGCGGGCCGCAGAGCAGCACGATGGTGTCCTCGCTGGCCGGCAGCAAATGTCCAGCAATCATGTCCTCGTTGATGAAGCCCTCGCTATAGGCCCAGCCTGTACGGAATAACAAAGACAGAGAGAGAGAGAGAAACGATACGAGGTTAGCCACGAGGCGCGTAGTCTTTCCCACTGGCAAGTGTGAAACGAAAGCAAAAACTCTGACAAGGAAATAAATGCTAGATGGAACTAGTCCTAATAGCTAAAACGCTGCTCGGCCCTATGCCCCAGGCGCTCCAGACCCGGTATGCACGTGTAGTTGACCATGGGCGGAGGACCGCACAGGAGGCACAACGTGTCGGTATCGGGCGTATAGAGATGCTTCTCCATCATCTCATCGTTTACGTGTCCGGTGTTGTAGGACCAGGCTATGAACCGGGCGTTGGCCGTTCGCGGCATCCGTTTGAGAGCAGCATGTGGCAAGGGCAGACACAAAATACTTAACATAATAGATGACTTGGAAATGGCTCGTTTGAGTGTGTATCAATGGTGTTCTATGCGTCAAATGCGGATACGTAAACTGAATCTAAATGGAGCTAACTACGGCGGAACTGAAGGTTCTTCTATGATTTTCGTTCTGGGATATCCAAAGGAATAATGGTAATCGATTGATAGAAAGTCTGTAAAACTCGTGATGAACAAGAAGCTCTTGCAATCATTATTGAAAGCCACGTGAGAGTAATTGGAGTCTCTGAGCGACAAAGCAGAACACTTCTATGCCTAAAATCCATGCTGATGATGATCATGAAACGATCGAATATGTGGCGTGTGTGTGTCCCAACTGCAGCTTACCTTCGGCTGCCTTGTCCACGGTGTACCAGACCTTGAATTGGTCGGGATGCTTTTGGGCCAGTTCGTCCAGTTCTCCGCGCAGCAGAATATCCTTCTCGCTCTGTGAGAGATTAGAAGGATTAGAACAGTCGCTTGGCATGGCGGGGGGTCAGTTACCTGGTTGGCAAACAGCAGCGCCATTTCGGTCTTGTCCTTGTCGTTGCGCTTCAGCACTTCTCGGACCAGCTGGAGCATGGGAGTGATGCCTGTGCCGCCTGCAATCATGTTTACACGCTTGGCGGTCACGTGCTTGGGCGGATCCTTGCGCAGCTTCTTGATGGAGAAGGTGCCGTTGCCCAGGTACTGCAGGCGGCCGGACGGTCCGCGGAACGAGATCTTGTCACCCAGCTCCATCTGCTCCAGATACTGGGTCATCTTGCCGCCGCCGGGGAACTTGGGATGCGTGTCCTTAAAGTACACCTTGACCACCAGATCGACATAGCCCACGTCCTCGTCGGACGAGATGGGCGTATAGGGACGGATGACCAGCTCATTGTCAATGGTCGCAATCAGGTGAATGTGCTGGCCCACGGGCAGGCCCAGAACGTGCTGCTTGGAGGGCAGGCCGAAGCGGAAGCGACGGGTATCGGTGCTTAGCACCTCCTTCTCAACCAGCGGCAGCAGATACTTGTCATTCGGATCCACCAGGGTGCGGAGCCGGGCGGTGCGATTCGGCTCACGGCGCGGCTTCGTAGACTTCTTGTTTAGGAAATAGTGGACGATCAAAGCTCCAGCTACGACGGCTACCACGCCCACGGCGATCGGTACAAACTGCAAGTGTACAAATAATACATAAATAAATGTAATTTCAAGCAATTTCATGTATGAATTCTATGGCTGCTCTCTTTATCGTTTTATCGATTTGATTGCCGGATAAACATGCATAATTATCTTGTCAAACACAAAAAGATATCAATGATGTTTGCTCCTGTGCATACGCATGTACATACACATGCACACACACTTGTACATAGTACAGAGATTGCGTACGAGCGAGAGATTGAGTGGAGGCTTATGACACACCTCATGTCTAGTTTCTTGTTTTGTTGGCTATTTTCGAATCGACTGATTAGCGGGGCTGATTAAAGGGCAATAGGGTAGATGGAAACTACCGCGTTCGTCTGGCGCGATAGGAGAAAACGTACATAGATGAAATCTCGATTCGCATCTCGCACCGTTTTCGGCCTGAGATCACAACGCAACAGCTGATTGAGGTTACTGGTTTAACCCCACTGGCGGGTCGCACTTTGGTCACGCCACTGACCTTGAAACCCTAGGGCCGGCCTAAATACCACTGCGCTGCACAGTTGCACAGTGCGGTTATGATGTCACAGCCACCTTATATCAACTTACATCAATATCCGTCATGGTTCACACACTTGTTTAATGCAAATGGTGTTTGTTTTTTTTGTCCAGTTTCTAATTTGACTTGCAAGCAAACTTGAAAGGGAACGAAAACTACGACGAAAACGCGTGCCACCGAGCGCTGAAATTTGAATGAAGTCGTCGCGTTTAGCTTCGCACTGCTTTACCTTATCAACCTCTCTCTCTCTCTCTCTATCTTTCTTACTCTCTCCCTTAACCACTTTGAATCGCGATGTCGAGTCACAGCGATTCAGCTACAGTGAACAATGGTTAAAAACTTAAATTTTGATTCGAAAAAGGATCTTCTATTTGATAAAGTGGTCAGGTCAGATTGTATATTGGCATGGGCACAATCGCAACCCAAATGTGAGATACAAGTATTCATTTAAAACAAATAGTGGACATTTTTTCCACTTTGCCGTATCTACACTGTACGCTACGATAGTACGAGAGCAAGAGAGCGATTCGGAAAGAGCGCACAAATGATAGTAAATTACAAAGTCAGGCAAATTTTGTTTTATTGATTAAGAGCGCAAAGGCTCTCTTTGTTTGGGTAGCGTGCAGAGAGTGAGTGCTAGCCTCCTAACAGCTGACTGGCCTTGACATTGCAGTGCACCGGCTTTGTACCGAAAAAGATTTATTTTTGAGAGAGAGGGGAGGGCAATATGGGAAGATACTTTTCCGTCATGAAGAGAGTGCACGGCGTAGGCGACTGCTTGACTGACTTCTGCTTAGAAAAACACGATGAGGATTGGGTGGCACCAAGCACCAGAAGGAGGGGCCTACGATGGCATCTCTATAAATAGCTGTGCGACGTCACTTGCTAAAAATCTACACTAATGCAAACGACTAAGTATTTCTCCCGAGAATAGGAATGAGCCGCTAGTGCGGGCGTGTGCCTGACAATTATGAAATGCCACTCATTTGGAACAGGAGTTATGTAAAGCGATGCTGGGCTGCAACTTGTGTCATAACTTACGTTGCTCTCGATGAGACGCGCCATGTCCAGGCGTCAGACACTATCTTCACACGCTCAGTTTCTGGTGGGAAAATCAATGGGTGCACTCTTGGATAAATTATATAATTCGAAATTTGCACTGATGGCGTCGCCGGCGTGTGGGCGCTAATACAAGGCGCAGCGACTAAGGCAGAGTTTTGTTTGTCTGCACTCCGTTCTCTCTGAGAGCGGACCACCGTTCTCTCATTTGTGTCGTATAGAGCTGAAGTAGAGAGTTGTTGTAAGACGAGCTCTAACATTTCCAATAACCAAAATATTCACCTTGTCTGTAGACTGTCACCAGGCCGAGGGGGTCGAACTAGTATATTTGTGTAAGATCTTAAATCAAAACAATCCCAGCCAGCTGCGCTGCACGAGATGATGCTGCCAGATCTCAGCAAAAAGGTAAATCTGCAGTACCTAGTATCGTTTAGCTATCGACCACCAAATGATAGTATCCATCCGAGCCGATGTACTTGTTAGTGATGGAAAAGGGGACAGCTTATGATTGTTTTATTTAAAAGTATCAAATACACAAAATTTGGATAAAACTTGTAGTAGTAATTAAGATTCACTTAGGCCAAACAATGCCACAGGTTCAGCAAGGTCCACACTGTCTGTTTGTTTGTAATGCATTAGCTTGTTGTATATGAAAAACAAGCGTCCGGTATTCGCTGTCGCAGAAATTAATTGTTTAAGAACCTGGAAATATTTAAGTTTGTTAGCAAAAGGTTCGCAGGAATTAGGATGGGTTAACGCACCTCGAGGAACAATTCGATATCAGATTGAGGAGAAGCTGTCGGTGTGCTGGTAGCCAAAAATATAGCATCGTGGACTTGGACTGAATTCCCATGTATATCTTCCAGCAAACTTAACAATGCAATACAAAATAGGCGAAGCAGTCATATATAAAATTGTAATTTTAGTGAAAACTGGAAAAGACACTGTGTGCCAGAGGTTTAATTTCAAATACTGGCATGCCTCTATCTGAGTTCTCCTCCACAAATGCACTGAGTGTGTACTTCATCACAATGTACTGGACACTACAACTGGATGCTGTGCATCTGCCTTCAGCACGCAGAACGTCGCGTTTTCATCTTCACCTATTTTAGTCATTTTTGTTTTGACATTTTAAGCTTAAGCCATGGGATATAATTATCGTTTTTGGTACCTTTAGGACAGCGTAAAAGCGTTTATTATTCATTTGTATGAGCGGAAATAGTGTGAAGCTTACTTGTTTGTATGAAATCAATTAGAGTGTCCCGGAAAATAGAATTTGTGTCGTGGAAGGCTTGAATTATTTTCTTCACAATCTCTTCAGTATCTTTGCAATTGGGTTGTAAAACAACCGCATTGAGTTCTGATTTCTCTATTACTTTATCTAATGCCTTCTTGAATTTAAGTGCCATCTTGTTTTGATTATTTTCCTAGTTTCGCCTTGTTCCGGGGAATTCACAAATAAAATGAAAAGCAAAGGCATATGCCATGCCTCTGAAGGAATGGACTTTTCGATACTTTTACTGAAAGCTGAGCTGTCAAATCATCGAATATGCGCGATAGTAACAGTGCGCCTATCGCACTTATAAGGTCATAAGGTATACAATATAACAAAAATGATTAAATTATTGCTTTAGTGCTAAAAGTCTTTACAAGCTAATAATATTAAATAGAACATCAAAATCGTGGAATGGCATTCAAGACTACGGTATATTTACATTATATTTTGAAGATGCAATGGTATATTTTATCGATAGTTCGCATTTCAAATCTTTACTAAATATCATATCTGAGATATATTTTGCTTGCAAGAATTTTCAAAATAATATCAAATATATCACTGCAAAAATATGATATATTTTACATCATTTTGCCTGTATATATTTGCTGATATTAAATTCCGCGCGCTGCGGAGACAAATAGTTTCCACAGAGAAAACTGAAACTTAACATTTGTTTTTAACATCTTTAATCCTTATTCTACTTTCTCAAAAAAACCAAAATTACTAACAACAGAATATATATTCTTAATGGAGTCTTTTGTGCAAAAATACAAAATACCCTATATATTTATTAAGATCCTGTGGTTAGTCACCGAACTTCAAATATAAAAAAATATCGCATAAAAATATGAATGTATTGATATTTTGTCAACAAAAATATCACGATATAAATATATTTTTATTTTACAAAAATATCGATATATTGATATTTGATTTACATGTGACAACCCTATATCGTTCTTTCGTAAACCGGACGTTCCGACGTGCAGACATGGCGTAAGTGTAAAAAAAAAATAAATCTTTGAAAATACTCAGCATCCTTAATGTTTTTGACATGGTTTAACTGTAATTTGTTAAATGATGGTACGACAATGATGAAATGCATAGTATTTTATGCATTTGGCAATCAGAAACCAGCTTTTTAGACCATCTTCCATGTCCATATCAGTTTGGAAATGATTGCAAAATTAAATGTGATTTTGTGCAAAGGGTGCAGCTATTAATGTGAGCTGCACTCAATTGCACAATGCCTCGACAGTTAAACACGGCTTGGACTATAGTTGTATGATGGGTTTGCTGGATATGTTGGCTAATAATTTACTTTATGTTGCAGATCGAAAGTTTCGCGTGACACGCTCTACGAGGGCGTCAGTGGAATTCTTGAGAATTCCCTGAAAAAGAAGCGTGGCTTCCTCGAGACGGTGGAGTTGCAAATCGGCCTCAAGAACTACGATCCCCAGAAGGACAAGCGTTTCTCCGGCACTGTCAAGTACGTTGGCTAAAATACCTGCGCCAGTGAGTACGTCTGCTCCCCGCGAGCAGTGTGCCACAGCGTCAGGAAGTCGATGATGTGGTAACACAGCTCGGCGGACCTGCACTCAGGGTCTTAAAAACAAATTGAGTAGGTCTTCCAGTAATGGAGACCGACCCCTATAGTTATTAAAATGAAAACACGCGTGCTCCCCCGTGGGCTTTGTAAGTTTTCTGCGTTCCCAATGTTATACCACCCCCCAGTTAGAGCTAACTTCTGTGTGGTGTCAATGGCGTACTGATTCATTTTTTCGATTGTTTTTGACCTGCAGGTTGAAGCACATCCCACGTCCCAAGATGAAGGTGTGCATCCTCGGCGATCAGCAGCATTGCGACGAGGCCAAGGCTAATGGCGTTGAGTTCATGGATGCCGAAGCTCTGAAGAAGCTGAACAAGAACAAGAAACTTGTGAAGAAGCTGGCCAAGTCCTACGACGCGTTCCTGGCTTCCGAGTCCCTCATCAAGCAGATCCCACGTCTGCTGGGTCCCGGCCTGAACAAGGCTGGCAAGTTCCCTGCCCTGCTGTCGCATCAGGAGTCCATGATTGGCAAGATCGAGGAGGTCAAGTCCACCATCAAGTTCCAGATGAAGAAGGTTCTGTGCCTGTCGGTCGCCGTCGGACACGTTGACATGAAGAGCGACGAGCTTGCCCAGAACGTCAACCTGTCGATCAATTTCCTGGTCTCCCTGTTGAAGAAGAACTGGCAGAATGTGCGCTCGCTGCACATCAAGTCCTCCATGGGCCCACCCCAGCGTCTCTACTAGATGCCCATATTTTGTAACATCAGATAATAAATGAGGAATTACATTTTGCTAAATGTATCTTAAGTAAATTACTTTTTATTGCAACTATTCGGAATTTGGCGTGAGGAAAGTTTAGATTTCAGTGGAGCTTATGGTTCGAGCCAGAAAGTCGCGCACTCGCAAACCTCTCTCCGTCTCTTCTTCGGCATCATCGCAGCAGTCTGGCAGTGGGTCTGTTTTAAACTTGGAGACATCCACTGCGTTGCCCCATTCCAGCATATGCGGCTCGCCTACCTGCTCCAGCAGGTTGTGCAGGACTGCAGCGGCTGTAATAATGCAGGAGGCTGTCTGGAAACGAATGTCCAGCGGCTGGATGAAAAAGTGCCACCGCGACATCAGACGGTGCAGAGCGCAGTCGCTCAATTCCTTCAGGCGTTCTGCCACTTCGTTGAAGTCGTGCTCGTGCGGAGAAATTGGATCCGCGTAGCGCTGGAGAAGCCATCGACGCAGTGGATAATTTTGTTGAGGCGGAACCAAGACAAAGGGGGATATTAGGCGTCCGTTTATGGGTATCTGGGGCAGATCCGTAAGTCGGTTTGGCGCTGTGGAGAACATAGGCATCATGGAGGCCTTGCTTCCGTGACCGAGCTGTAGTTCGCGGAAGAGCATGCGGTCGTCCAATAGAAACTCCATGCGCATAACCGATTGGCCTGCTTTGTTCACGGGCCCGCCATTGGCACGTATCGGAATGGAGCACACGCCCAGTATGCCAACGAGGGCGGCCGGCATGTTGCTTTCTTTCTGGAAGCCTGCCATCACATTGCCGCAGTCTGGCTCGGATTGGGGCAATTTGCGTAGAGCTTTTCCTAACGTGGTCATGACGGCGTTGCAGAAGAGTTTCAGGCACTTGATTGTCTTTAACCGGGGTACGGAAAACAGATTCGATATGATCGAGATGCGCTCGCCGCTGGCCAGATAGTATACCGCCAGGGCAACGCATTTGTCTAGAGAAATTTCGAGCGATCTACCACTGCACTGTCCCCCCTGGCGCATTGCAGGTGTTAGCTGCCGGCAAAGCGCTTCAAAGGTGCTCCGCGTAATGTGCAGTTTGTTGAGGAACTCTTCATCGCTCAGCTCCGGGAATATGTCCTCAGAGACAGTCTGCTGATCGTCTGCTGATTCCTCGTTGGCATCGCTCTCCGCGGACTCGCCATCTTCCAGGCTGGCACGCTTGAGGCTCAACATGGCATACATCTGCATATAATTGGATTGCATCTCCACCATTTGCTGCATGAAAAACGATCGCAGAAGTCTATACCGTCGCCTGCTTCTCTGCTGCGAACGTCGTCTGTGTGTAATCACAGTTAGCTGAACATGCTGTATGTGCAGCCACAGGAGCCTGGCGATTCTTTCCTTGCGCTTCTGACTATCTTCATCCTTGGTTTGGTTTCTTTTACTCTCCACCAGCTTGGCCAAGGCATTGTTTAAATTGCTGTTAATTAATTCCAGTTCTTTCTCCATTTTGTTTGTTTTCTTTGCTTATTATTTTATTAGGGATGGGCGGCACTGAAATGCAAGTATCGCTTCACATTTATACAGAAATTAAATCCAATCAAAGCACTATTTGAATACGCGTAATATTCTGATTGAAATTGTTCACGCGCGGGGTAAAAAGCAATAATATTTTAGCATAATTTAACGACATACAAATGGACAATTATATCTGATGCGGTTGATGGCTATCGATATTTTATTAGTATCGGTTTATCAAAGATACAATTGAAAGTGTGAGCCGTTTCGAACTATGATTTAACTAATATGTACTAAATAACATAAATGATAGATGAAGAGATCTTCATTGCAATCATACGATAGCTTTTATACAGGATGTTCCTGCCTGGAACGAATGGTCCACGGATGTGGCCGAGTTTGAAGATCTCACACCACATGAAGCGTGCGACAAATTCCTAAACGAAGTCCTACCTATTGTGAACACCTACCTAAATCGCCTAAGGCTGCTGGATCTGCATGCGTGCTTTCGTCGCATTGAACAGGGCTATCAGTACGTGCCCAATGCCGAGCTCTCCGTGCCCAGCGCACAGCAGAAATTCTGTGTTGGCTACAACTTCAAGATCTCCCCTGAGACTTCCAGCCTGTTATCGGCCATGGTCTCCAACAACATGGAGTTATCAATTGGACAGAGGCACAATTTGGCCGATCTCCATCGCCGCTTGCGGCAGGCAAAGCAATCCTTTGAAGACACCGCCAGAGTTTTGCCATTCCGCAGGAGTATACATCACGTGGTCTACAACATGGATATCTTTGTCATTCTAAGAACGAAAATATGTAAAGCAATTAACAGAAACTATCACTAACAGACAGATTAGACATTTAGGATTTTTGTTGTCTTTGCAAGTAGAACGATTGAGGAGACCTTAATTATATTAGACATAATATATAATTGTACATTATAAATTATAAATTAGAAAATGTCTCATCAATTAGTGTTTAAGGGTGAATGAGAACTGGAAGCCAAGTCCATCAAAATTTGGCGACTTCTTTGCAACGACCGCAGCACGATTGCTATTCACGTCAAAGTCATCGGGCATGGTGGATCCACAGAGTGTTTGCACCAGTCCCTCGCTCGCATCTGGCATAACCTTGTAGAACTTTATATTATCCAGCTTGCAATTGGTCTCCGAACCCATGTTGAAGTCTGCAAAATACAAAAATTAACAATAAAATCAACCAGAAAGTGGCCGTTGCGCTGCATACCCATGAAGGCGATCCTCAGGGTGCTGCCTGCTGGCACTGTTATACGCCAGATGCACAGCGAATGGTTTCGATTGTCGTAGGGGGGATTGGCCAAGTTACCATAGCCACCACCCAAAGAGATGTCGCCACCGCAGCCGTTGGGCAGATTGTTGCTGGTGGAGTAGTAGAACAAACGCAGAGAAGCTACGCCCGCGCTCGCTATGCGTAGCTGATTGGTCGCCGCGAATCTGACTGCGGGGCTCGCCAGGAATCTGTTCGTTTGGAAGACTGTCTGGTTGGTCTTCAGGTCGCTTATCTGTGGTGGCAGAGCAAAAAGTTGTGGGATGGTTTGGTTTCGATGTACAACTGGCGCAACTACTCACGTTTAGGTACTTCAGACTGGCTTCCAAATCGAACAACACATACAGCAGGTTCAGCGTCACACTGTTGCCCTCGGGCACTCGTATATCCACGGTGCAGTTGGTCAGAGAGCTGTCTTCGATGGCTCCGCTCAGCTCCGTGTAGTTGCGACCACAACCTGAAATATGCACAACATTTAGATCCACATTTAGATTCAACAAGTACCCAGCCTGTGCTCACGTTTATTATGCCTGATTAGCACCTCGAACCCAGTGAATTCTGTCAGCTCTTCGCTGTGGAATGTTAGTTCTAGCGTCAAGCTCTCCGGCGATAATAATCTCTTGAAGGTGTTGTTTAACTGCCCGCAGAAGTACTGCGGCGACTGCAACTGTTTCAAATGTTTTTTTATATTCTCAATGAGCTTTGCTTTTAGTCAGCTAAAAACTTACCCACGACTCGGATAGACGTAGGTAGTCCACACATTTACCCGTCAGTTGTGACACATCCCTTAGATTCAGCCATCGTATCTCGATTTCCGCCTCCTGCGCTGACCGAATTGTCCAAGAGCAGTGAACGCTTCCCTCATAGTTACTCGAGTTATTGTCCCCTGGTATGGCCAGTTTGATGCTCTGCGGAAGAATCAATTACAATTTATAGAAAACATTCAATAGGGATCTTCCCCTACCTCATTCGAATGCAGCTGATACTCGGTCTCTCCACAGATTGTACGTTCCATCTGCAGAATCAATTCAAAGCTCACGTTTCGCGCCTCATCGGAAGTGCCACTCAGCTTGATGGAGAGATCTGAATAGGAGCTGAAAAGCTTCGTACGATTGCCAGCCAGGTCGTAGTACTTGCCGAGGCTTTGGCTTTGAGCGGCGGCGCTGTCAATAATCTCTAGGTAGCTGCCCAGATACGACCCAGACGAAGGCTGCAACTGTCTCAGCAGCACGGACAGCCGATGTCCAGGCGGCGCACTGGCCTTGAACATGCACAGCAGCTGCTCGGAGGCATTCACTCTGTAGTTCCGCATAAGGCTCATGCGCGGTACATCATCGTCCAGCGCGATTCGTTCATTGCAGTTCGGAGTGAAGCGCACGCCGGCCAGGAAGCCACGAAAACTGTTTGATGAATCCGAGTGGGACACAATCAGCGCCTGGTTGCTGTCCACCATAATGGTTGGCGGCTGCGCGGTTAAGTTACCGCACAGGCGGGCCACGCGCTGTTCAGTGTTCGGCACCATGCCGGCGCCCTTGTAGACCGCCAGGTAATCGTATCGGCAGTCACGGCTCTCCTCCAGCTCAAAGTACTTAAACACCAGAACGATGGCGTGCTGTGGGGGCGCCGTGACGCGCCATTCACAGTGCATATTGTGGGCATAAGACCTCACATTTTCGTCGTGCTGCGGTGGTCGCAGGGAGAAGGGAGCGCTGTAGTTACCGCCGCAGCCCAGCAGCTGGAACTGCAGCTCGAACTGTCGCATTGTGGGCGACATGTACTGCAGGCGGAGTCTCTTGTAGCCGTTGACCTCAAAGTCCGGGCAGAACTTCTCAGCCTGCTTCACTTCCCCCGATTTGGAGCTCGAGTCTGGTTTGTAGACCATAAAGAAGGATCTGAGGCAAGCGAATGCTGGCCAAGCGCGGCGCCCTACATTTTTCACGCTGGCCACCAGCTGTTCCTCGCTGTCCGTGAGTATCACGTAGCTGCAGTTGAGCATCATATTGCGCGATGCCTGCCAGCTGGGACTGCGACGGATCTGCGGCTCCGCGGTGGCACGCAGTGTGACGTCGCAGCTGGGGGAGACGGTGAAGCTGAAGCCGTCGCCGGTGATGTTGCCATTGGTGCGGAAGACCACACGCATGCGTGACGCCTCCACATGCAGCGGCAGCGGCAACTGTCGGCCGCACAGATTGGCCACCTCGGACCAAACGGCCGCCGTCTCCTGCCTGTCAAGGCTCTGCTGCACACTCAGCCGGTCATTGGTGCAGTTCGGGGACGTTTCAATGAAGAAGCGACCCTGGAACTGCAGCGAGAGGGAGAGTCCCGCATTGGTGGTAAACTCCCAGATGAGCTCCATGTTGTTCTTGTACTCCGATCCATTGATCGTTATGGGCGCTGTGGTCCGCTGGTCGACTCGTATCACACTTCCTGCCGTTGGGCCTGCTATCCGCTTGGGTTCCAGCCGGAACCAACTGCGTCCCGGCCTGTGCTGTTCCGTGTGGTAAATCACCTTGGACTGTGCCTTATCCAGAATCGTGCTGTTCATCGTCATGCCGCGGCAGAGGCGTCCCACCGGTCGGGGACCCGCATAGATCACAATGTACTCGCGGTCACAGCTGTCGCTGAGGCTAAGGTTTCCCTCCAGCGCATAGCCCCTGCTGCCAGCCAGCATCCACACACACTCCAGCGGCCCATAATCCTCACTGATGGTTGCCATCATCTGCGGTGACTCTATGGCCAGACCCTCGGCCACCTGCAGTTGACCGCCACAATTGTGGCGCCGATAAGTGGCCCGAAAGCGTCTCAGTTTGACATTTTGGCCATGGTTCAGGTTTATGCGTCCGGGCAGGGCAGCCATTGAGACGTAGCTGTTGGTGACATTCGTGGACATGTAGTGGACATTGCGGAAGCCATCGTCTTTGAACACCACCGAGGGACCAGCACGGCTCCAGTATGCGTACTCCTCCACCTTGAAGGTTAGCGTGGATCCACTGAGGCCCGCATAATTGATGGTGCAGTAGTAGACGGGAAGCTGGCTGAGGCTTTGGATGGACAACGCGCCGGCTGACTGGTCTCCAATGTCTGGCGGGCATTGCGACGCTACGCTGGAGCTAAACCTGGCACGCAGCGGTATGCTGGTCAGATCCAGTTGGCTGGTGATGATTTTGACCAGCATAAAGTTGTCGCTGGACTCGATAATGCCGCTCCCATTGTACGCATCTATACGGAAATCGGAGATCTTCGAGAATTGACTTAAATCGTTGAAGAAGGAAAACTGCGGCTGAATATCGCGCCGCATCCAGCTGCAAAATATGAAAGGATAAACCAATTATAAATCCTCAGTGTTCCATTGCACTCACCTCCTTGTTTCGTTACGAATAATCACACGCATGTCGGCTAGATTGAGGAGCTCGAGGCGCACGCTCTGACCCTTGGGCACTGTGATTCTCCAGCGGCAGACTCTGAGCCAGCTGGACTGCACATTGGCTGGAATCTCAAGGCTGCCAGAGGCAGCATTTATGTCGCGTGAACAAGTGTCAGTTATACGCTCGTAGAATATCTTAAAGCCCCGATAGCTGTTCACATTGCTCACCGCTTTGAAGCGGATTCCCAACTCGTTGGTGTTGAGAGTGACGGCCAGCGGGTAGGTTCCGCTGCCGTCCAGTACCAAGAGAGGTGCCTGCTGATCAGTCGAATCCGTCAGGTCCACGAACTCCAGTCGATCGCTGTTGTTCTGCCCCTTCTGCGAGCTGTACGGCAGATGCAGATCGCTGATGTTGAGCCGAATGTACGCACCACGCGGCAGCTTGATGCTGTACTCGCAGACAGAGGGCTTCGGGTAGCCCCCTAGGGCCGGATAGCCCACGGAGCTGATGAAGCCCATCGAGGCAGTGGTCAGACCGCCACAGGCACTCAGCGATACGTTCAGCCGGAAGCCGGCATGCGGCTCGTCCAGTTGCGACTGATAGTGCACCAGGAGAATATTCCCTGTGCTGCGCAACGTCATTGCGGGCCGTTGGCAGGTGTGCAGGAGTCGGCGCGCCAGTGTGGTGGAGCCATCGAAGAGCTCCACGATCTCCTTGCCGCATTGCCGCAAACTCAGATCGAATAAACGGTCGTCGAAGGTGGCAGTAATGACCTCCCCTGGCGGAGCCAACACCAGCCAGGTGCACTCTGCATGGGGATGTGGCAGATACGGATAGCCCGGCGTCGTGATGCTGTACGTGCTGGCCAGCCGGGTCAGCGGGATCTCGCCGTCGCACTCGCTGTACTCACGATACGTGAGATTCCAGTAGTTGTGCCCCGGGTTGACGGCTCGCTCCGGCACCACGTACTTGATGTACGCATGGGAGCCGCTGGTGCGATACGTGACTCTGTCCAGGCCCATTTGATTGCAGAACTTGCCGCCCCGGAAGAGCGGCGACCTGTCGTCCAGGCCATCGTAGATGAGTCCGTACACGGGGCATGTAACGTTGCCGGCAGAGCCGATAGCATAGACTATGTTGATCTCTATCTTACGGCTCGGTCGCACCTCGATGTGCCACTCACAATTTCTGCCCATTGCCAGTCCGGCACGCATTTGCGAGTCTAAAATGGTGGCCACGGGTGCCGTCATATTCGAGCCACATGTCGCACGCACAATGGCCCTGAAGCCGCGGCCGTTGATGGAGACATCGCTCCTAAACTGCAGCCTCAGATGCGGAGTTCCGTGCAATCGCTGGATGAGTGGCCCGCCCTTGCTGCCGTTGCAGATGCGCAGCTCATTCGTCCAGTGGCTCAGATCGCTGGAGCTCTGGATGTTCAGATAGTCGGCAAAGCAATTGGCATACTCCTCCAGATCGACCTCATAGAGATCCACGTAGGCATGCTGGGCGGGATCCTCGGGCCTGAACGTCCACTGGCAATTCAGGTTGGCCGCATAGCCCCGCGGGTAACCCGGGGAATTCACCATCAAGCGCGCACTGCCAGACACCGTAAAGTCTTTGTTGCACTCATCGTTGGTCACGGTTCTGTTGCCCTTTACGAGCACACTGCTGACCACGTGCCACTTCAATCGAAAGGCATTAAAGTCCGTGTTGAGGGTCCTCAAATAGAGGACATTGCTGCTGGAAAGGAACTGCCAGGGTGAGGCTAGAGTGCTCACCTCCAGGGCAGTGTCATCGTAGCCATTAAAAAGCTATTAAGAGGGAGTATTAAAATGGAGTGTGGGTTTTTCTCTCGGTTTTCCTGGGCTCACCTGCAGGCCCGATATGTACTCATCAAAGTCCAGCGCCACCACCATTTCGCGCTCCACAAAGATGCGCCAACTAAACGGCTGCTCCTCTGCGCGTACTGCGAGTAAGGGCGGGGATGCAATCGTTCCATTGGTCTCCGACGTAATTTCATTGTCGTGCACTGCCGAGAAGCAAACGTTAGTCAGAACTAAGACTGGAACTGGTACTACTCACCGTAGCTCCAGTGCAGCTTAAAACCGTCGGCGCTGTTGCCGGGCAAGCTGCGGAATTTGAGCCACAGCTGCGATCGTATAACCAGCGTCTGCTCGGGCATCTGTCGGCCGCAGTAGAGGCCCAGCAGACGCTCGTCCACGCCTGAACGCAGCTCGAGAAAGTCCTCGTTGCAGTGCTCAGAGGTCACAATGTTCAGGGAGTCGAATGTGATCGAGAGGTAGTTGCCTGGGTTTACGCTGATGCGCCACAGGCACTCAACGTTCGCCGGATAGCTGTCCGGATAGTTGGGTGAGCTCAGGCTGCCGCGGGCGGAGCTGATGTTGCCGCCGCAAGTGTTCTCTAGGTTGGTGAACTGCGCCACCAGAGCGATGCCTTTGGCCAGCACACGGACATTGCTGGCGGGCACCACCAGATTCGCTGGATGCTCGCTGCACAGGCTGTAGAGCACCACCTGATCATCGTCGTTGAGCAGCTGCAGTCCCTCCTGTGACGTGCAATTCTCTGCTGAACTCTTCGGGCAGCCCGCACACTCCAGCTGGCTGATGCTCAGGCTCAGTTTGGTGCCCTCCGGTGCCACCACCAGCCAGTTGCAGTCCTCGTCCAGACGCGACCTCAAATAGCCCTCGCCTGCCGACAGCGTGCCACCGCATTGACGCTCAAAGTGAAGGGCAAATCGGCCCCAGGTTCCCGCCTGCGCTCTGAACTGCACACGCATACGCTGGCCGTGGACCAGTCGTATCAGTAGCGGCTGGTCGCCACAGACACGCTCCAGGAAGTGCTCGGTGTTGTCAGCATCCAGCTTGGTCAGTTCCACAAAGGTGTCCGAACAATTGGCCGAATCGGAGAGGTTGAACTGCTCTAAACGCAACCGAATGCCATAGCTATCCGGTACCTAGAAACACTCAAGAAGGATTAGTTTTTGATCTTGGTTGCAGCACGGGGCGGGGATGCGTACCTCCACTAACCAAAGACACTCCACCTGCGAGGAGTAGTTGAGGGGACTGAGGCCCTCCTCTATTGTGGCGGCATCATGGAAACCGGGTGAGGCAATGACCCCACTGCTGGCACGCACAGAACCGCCGCAACTGGCTGGCACCTGGGCATAAGAGGCCTTGAAGTATTTCCTTGCGACCGTTGGACTGCTCTCGAAGCGCACGTGCAGCTCATTGCCCGGCGAGGTGAATGTCTGCGTGGAGGTCTGCGACTGGCAGCTGCGGTAGAGCACGTGGCTACCCGGCGTGGAGACTGTGAGCAAGTCCTGCAGGCACTCTCGCTGTGGCGGATCGATATACAACTCCTCAAGTATCAAACGTATTTGCTTGCCCTCCGGCGCACTGATGACCCAATCGCAGGCCACATCTGCGCTGAATGGGATATTGGGCGAGGCAAAGGTACCGCCCATTTCCTCCAGTTGTTCGCCGCAGCCAATGCGCTTGTATTCGGCTCGAAAGCCGCGCTCCTGCAACGTGCTGTCGCTGCTGAATTTGAGCAGCAGACGATTGCCCTTGCTGGTGAACGGAGCCACGCCCTCGTTGGTGCAGAGTCGCCGCTCCTCCAGCAGCTGGTCGTCCTTCATGTCACTGAGCATCACATAGTCAAAGTCACAGCTCCCGGGCTGGTATTCTTCCACAGAGAGATGCGAAAAGACCAAATGAATGTGATTCCGCTTACCGCCGGCGCGTATGTCCCACTCGCAGGACATGTCGGGCGGATACTTCTCGGGGAAGTTGGGCGACTCAATGGCCCCCTGGATCTTATCCAGCCGCACCCTGCAGTCCGTCGAATAGTCCAGCACAAAGCTGGTACCATCGGGCGAGTCGTGGCCCACATTGTAGCGCACGAGCACTCGATTACTGCTGGAGTGGAGCACAATTCTGGTGTCTCTGTCTGTCTCATTGCAGCGCAATTTCAGGACACGACTGCTTGTGGTGGGTCCATCGAAAATGGTTAGCTGACCGCTGCAGAGGTTATCGTCTTGGCTCTCGATCTGCATAGACACGAGCGAGCCCTCGGCCACACTTATCTGCCAGTCGCAGGCCAGGGCGCCACGATTGCCTGCCATCGAGTGCGGCGAGTGTATGGATCCCACGTGCGAATTGAGTTTGCCGCCACATCCTTCGCCGATCTGCTGCCAGTTGAGCAGGAATCCACTCTCCTCCACGCTGTTGTCAGAGCTGAACTTCACGTAGAGCGCATTGCCAAACGAGGGCAATCGTGGTGGTATCTGTGTGCCACAGTATCTGCCAATCAGTGGAGATTCGGCCGAGTCACCATTCCTGTACGAGAAGTCAGCGGATAAGTCAGCCTCGCTCGAATTCTCGCTGCGAGCTCACCTGATCTCCAGATAGTCGCTGGTGCACAAAGTGCCCATTACCTCCAGACTAAAGTTCGAGACAACCAGCTCAAGGCGATGTCCGAGCGGCGCACGAATGATCCACTCACAGTTCTGCGAGGCGCCATATGGTCGCGGCCAATTCGGTGACTTGATGATGCCAGCGCGTTGACTGGTACGTACATTGCAATCTGAATAAAAGTGGGAATAGTATTAAGAGTAGGAGACATTAAGCAGCAGTCACTAGACTCTCTCTAGAATGAGATCTAAGTCAGAAATGCAATCGTAAGCATACCACTTTCCACCTGTTTGTACGTGATCAGCACCAATTGAAAGATTTGTTCATTCCTAAGCGATAGTGTCAGTAGATCTGCATCAAAGTATTCCACAAAATCGCCTTCATAGCTGCAACCGAACCATTAAGCAACAGATATAATAATAAACTTTTTAATAAGATAATTACCTGTTTAAAAGCAAACCAGGACTGGTGCTATTATCATAGACGGACATTTGACCGGACACAAGCATACGGCTTACGGAGATTTGTTTCCTGCCCGGTGCATCGATTATCCACTGACAGAAGGGCATTGACACGCGTTTCATAAAGCGATTCGAGATTGTTGGGCTCAGATAGCCACCGCAGCCCGTATCTGGAAAGCTGTAGTCCACAAGCAAGCCACGGCCAGAGCTGGATCCGTGGAAAACCAGTGTCGCCTGGTTGGTGTGTGCCATCAGCACGATATTTCGACCCGACTTGTATATACGACGCTTCTCATCTTTCGACAGATAAACCTGCAATGGGATGGTCAACTAATCTTGGCTTATTTTCTGCCATACAGATCTGACTTACGTCCAAGTAATTGGTTTGATTTCCATCATCAGTGGCATTCGCGTCGGCAGCGCCTAGCGATAGATCTTGGATGGTAAGCTTTACGAGCGTGTCCAGAGGCCCAACTATCTTATATGTGCAGGTCATATCAGCCAAATAGAACTGCGGATAGTTGGGCGTTCTGATGGTGCCACCTTCCGTGCCACCGAAATTGCCACTGCACACTGCATAATAAATATGGAAATAGTTCAGAAATGATTAGGGGGACATGTCTGTAAGGGATTACCTCTGCTGTAGCTCAGCTCGAAGCTCTTATTCAGCTTCAGCCCAAGTAGGGCATACTCATAGCGCACGAGAACCACATTGCTGCTGGAGATTAGTGGCTCCATTTCACTGCCCTCGGGCTGCCCGCAGAGGCGACGCATCAGTGGTGACTCAGCGGTGCGTCCGTTGAAAATTTCGATCTTCTGCAGTCCACAGTCCTCGGACCGCAGCAGATTAATGTGCTCGAATTCCAGCTTGATTTGTGTCCCAGTTGGCTGCTCGATTAGGTAGAGGCAAACCTCTGCATTCATGTGGCCACTGATGCGGCCCTGCGACTCCGTGTAGCTGCCGCCGCAGCCTGGCTGGCCAGCCACCACCTCGTAGTGCAGCTGGAAGGAGCTATCTACGCGCTGGGTACCCGTATGCAGGTCGATCTGCAGGCTGTTCGATGAGCTGTACAGCGGTTCCGGCTGTGAGGACACGCATCTCTTCAGCAATTCCCGATCCGAGTCGTATACAGTCAAGTAGCTACTGTTCAGTCCCTGGCCACAGAGAGCGGCATCCGAGCCTCTGCCCATGCCCAGCGTTATGTCGTAGAAACGCAACAGCAGCCGAGTGCCGTAGGGGGCTGTGAGCTGCCAGCGACAGTCGAGGCCGGCACGCGCCTTTCCCGGATAACCGGGAGATCGCAGTATCCCAGTCTGACCCAATGTCAGGTTGGCCAACGTGTCGCCGCAGGAGAAGGGCATGGAGCTCCAGGCGAGGTGAAAGCCGCTTCCTTGCGTAGCATTGTCTGAGCGGAACCAGAAGAAAACCTGCTCCTGGGTGGAGACGATGCTTTTGTTGGCCAGTTGACTGCCGCAGAATCTACCAATGAGCCTGTAGGCCAGCGATGGGCCGTCGTGCAGCTGCAGGAAATCGGAGGAACAGTCGTTGCTCTTCTGCAAATCGAATTGTGTGAAGGTCACGTTGAGCACATGGCCTGGAGGCGTGCGAATGATGAAGGGGCACCGCTCGTCGGGCTGGTAGTCACCGTCAGCGGTGTTGGGTGGAAAATGCAGCTGGCCCGTGGGTCCTCGCAGTGTGGAGCCACAGAAAAAGCGCTGGTTGGAGCAACGTGTGCCAGTGAAGCCGGCGGGACAGTTGCATCGGAACTGGTTGTCCGGCAGTAGGAGACAAGTGCCGCCATTCAGACAGGGACTGGGGTGGCAGCCATCCGAATCTGTGTCGTTGCACAACACTCCTTTGTATCCGGGCTGGCAAATGCATGTGCTGCCGCGTCCTATGTGGACGCAGGTGGCGTTGTTTTGGCACAAATGCTGGTCGCATGTGTCGCGGGTGGGGTCTTTGGTGCACCCGTCCGCGCCGTAGCCATGACCGTAGCTGCCCAGTGGACAGGTGCAGACGACCGTGCCAGAGATGTACTCGCATGATGCGTCGGCATGGCATATTCGTTCGCCGTCACAGGAGTTCGACTCGGTGGTCATGCAGCTGCGTCCGTCACCGGTCCAGCCTACTGGACAACGGCCACACAGATGGGAGCCCTCGGTGTTGATGCATGTTACACGCGGTTGCAGGCTGCAGCCTCCGTTTGCCACGCTGCACTCGTCTATGTCGCGACAGAACCGACCGTCTCCGGTGTAGCCCGGCGGGCAGGAGCCACATCGGTAGCTGCCTGGCAGATTGATACACTCATTGTGGCAAGGATTCACGCTGGGCGCGCACTCATCCACGTCTCGGGTGCAGGGACTAGCGGTGGCTGTCGTAGCATTAGTGTCGGCCCAGGTCCAGCCTTGATCACAGACACACACGTAGCCGGCGGTGGAGCTGACAGAGTGAACGCAAGTGCCATGTTCCCCGCACAATTCGCTCGAATCGCCAGCCAGGCATTTATTCTGGCGCAGTCGGCAGTGGGTTCCAGAGTACCCATTGCGGCAAACACAACTGAAATGTGGTTCATGTACAGTTACTCGTACAAAATAATGGTCGCCTTCTTACCTAAAACTTCCAGGCGTGTTTATGCATCGTCCATTGTTCATACAGGCAGCCAGATCGGTGTTGGAAAAATCAAAGCATTCGTTCACATCTTCCTCGCAAGTGGGACCCTACAATCAAACGAATTATCATGGCGGATCCGATACAGTAAGCGTGAAAGAAGAAAAAACAATTCAATTTGGAACATTCAAGCGTGGGTGCAGATTTAACGGGATTTTAAGTTACCCAACACTTAAAGATTATGTATGGCTGCGCATGAAGTATCTATATAAGGTTTGCCCGTTTGTCACTTATTTATGCTGTGTAAGTAAAACGAAACTATCGTGCGATGACTAACCCTATGATGGCAGGGGCTTTAAAGTTTCCCATTACAAGGGAACAAGTTTCTTAACTCTAAAAAAAAAGCTTATTTTATTGCTGCAAAAAACTAAATGTGCATATGCTTAACACGGGGGGTTAATATGGTTCCAAATCATAACGAACAAATTCGTCCGAAATAGCATTTTTCGATTCTTAGCTACAATATATCGATAGGCGATATACGACGCAGTCGATCTGTTCAAGCTCTACCAACTTCACACAGCGAGGGGTCACAAAACTGTGCTATCGAAAACGAACTCAGTGAAGTTTAAGGAACTGAAATAAATCAGCCAGAAAATGAGCACCCAGGATAACAATGCCGCCGGCATTCACAGCATCGCCATGGACATGGGCCGTCTTTTCATGCAAGAGCTTTATTCGGACGTAGTGTTCCTAGTGGAGGATCAGCGACTTCCGGCCCATCGTGTCGTTTTGGCGGCGCGCTGTGAGTACTTTCGAGCCATGCTCTTCGGCGACATGGCCGAGTCAAAGAAACATGAAATTCAGCTGGAGGTGCCGCTGGAGGCTTTCAAGTCAATCCTCGAGTACCTTTACTTAGACAAGCTTCCCTTTGACAAAATTGGTGTGGATAAGACATTCGAAGTGCTTCACCTGGCACATCTTTACGGCTTGGAATACCTACAAACGGCTGTTGAAAAATATCTACAGCAGGCGCTAGCTGTCAGCAACGTGTGCATGATCCTGAATGCAGCGAGACTATACGATATGCCCGAACTGATCAAAAAATGCTATAATTTTATTGAAAAAAATCAGCTCGCCTTACTGCAAAGCGACTCCATTCAAACGCTCTCCAAAGAGGCATTTGAGGATCTCTTGCGCCAAGACAACTTCTTTGCACCCGAAGTGGAACTCTTTCGGTCTATATGCAAATGGAGGGAGAACAAACCGAGCGAGGACAGCCAGACGCTGCTTTCCCTCGTACGTCTTCCGCTCATGAGTATCCATGAACTGCTGCACGTGGTGCGACCCTCTGGCATATTCAAACTGGACGACATAGTGGACGCCATTGACAAAGTGAACATCGGAAAGAATCTGCCCTATCGAGCCACAGTATTGCCGAGGGTGAATGTGGCATCCAAAAATTATGCGAGCTACATCAGGGCTGACACATCTGAGATAGTCATCCAGCTAAAAAAATGTTTTAAAATCAATTCCATTCAGGTGTCTAGTAATTTTTCCGCAGGTGAATACGAACTGCAGGTGTCACTGGACGAGACCCACTGGGATTCTGTGGGAAGGATCAGAAAAGAACACGATAGTCCGATAATGGTCCGTTTTATGGCGCGTCCCGCTAGCTTCATTCGGGTAGCAGTTATTCCAGGTCTAGGTTTAAGACCGCTCCCTCCAAGTGGTACAGTGTTGGCCACGTACGAATAGTAGCACTAACAATAATAAATCAAATAATTCAAATACGAAATATGTTTCGCAGCTAACAATATCTAATTTAAATGTTTGCCAAATAATTGGTACACTTAATTGGAAAGTAAGGGACAGTGATCATTTTGTTTAATGTAAAATAAGTTATTTTAAATATGAAAAATATATTTTAACATCAAGAATTCGATTTACTTCATTTTCCAACACTAACTTTTTGCAGTTCTTCACCTTCATTTCACGAATTATAAATACTCTTCTTTATGTATGTATGTATGTATGTACACATGTATGAAAAATGAAAAATGTATGTACATATGAATGTGATTCTCTGCCTGTTTCCACATGAATACGCCCCCAATCGTTGACACAGAGACGCCCCCGTTGGTTGCACTCACTTGCCAGCCAGCAACACAATCACATTGGAAGGACTTGTATAAGTCGTGGCAGGTACCTCCGTTCTGGCAGGGATTCGACTGGCACTCGTCCTTGGCCAGAAAGACTTGTATTCTCGCCAGAGTAGTCGAGACACGCTCTATCCGCTGCAGCTGCCGGCGCAGGACGCGCTGGTTAAGTCCACTACGCCGCGTGTTGTTACGCATGTTGAAGAAACGCTTTTCCAGCCGAGTGAGACTACGTTGTACAGCGCGAAACTGGTCCTTCTGCACGTCCAGCGACAATGGCTCACGTCGAGCTGCCACCTGTCGAGCGGTGATCACCTGAAGGCGTCGCCGGAGAAGCGGTAGCACATCCACATCGTTGACCATCACCGTGGCATCCTCGCCCATTAGTCGAATAGTGACATTCTGATCTGGCGCTGCCTTTAGTAGCAGATTTCCGTTCTCCTGCCTGGTAATCACTGCCCGGTCATCTTGTTCATCTGAAGATGCTTCCAGCTCCAGTAGAAGCAAGCACAACACCAGCAAACACAATATCTTCAGCGTATTAGAGCACATTTTCACTCATTTTCAGTATTAAACTTCACAGAGTTTGGGGGTGGGATGGGAGGATTAATGCACGGTTTGATTGATTGTCAAAATACACTGGAACACGGAGAGACAATTGAAACTATGCGCGGATTGAAATGCACGGATACTGGTGCGAGATCGAACTGTGGCTCCCAATTTATAGACTTTACACTAGGGAAAGGGGGCGTTAACAAAAACTCATAGTGATAGGAGATGAACCCTTTAAACATCAATATCAAGTATTCTTTTATATGAGTACGCCTTGTGCCTGTTATCGCTATGCAGCCCTATGTTGTGTCTCAGTCAATTATGCACAGATGCACAAGTCGGTTTACCGGGTTTCAGGTCGCTTTGAAATCTTTGCCTTTCTGTCAATAATATTAGCGTCAAGCGCATTCCCAAATTTAATCTCACAGATTCCATCTTTCATATTTCCATTGGCTAATTTGGTCATCGAAAATTTATCGGTTCTATGGTGTAATGGTTAGCACTCTGGACTTTGAATCCAGCGATCCGAGTTCAAATCTCGGTAGAACCTGACTTACTACAAGTTCAAATATTATCCATTTTTTAAATGTTTCCATCTTTTTTGGCAGTGTTTTTCCCTAAAATATGTTGGGGTATATCATAGATAAAGCCAAACCAAAGCAAAGTTTATAGAATCAATGACTTTTCAGCCTTATCAGCGCTCGGCACTCCAAGTATTGAGTGCAGATAAATTTAACTGGGAAATTAGTTTCAATTCAGAGGAAAAGCAAAGCTTAATAGCTTAATAGGGTTTGACCTTGACAATAATTTGCACCATGTTTGATTCATTCACTCAACATAAGAGAATGCATAGAAGCAGCGCCATGACAACCATGTTGAGCGTAAATTAAATCAATTGAATTATAGTGAAGTCAGGCAGGCCGCTACATACGCACACAAAACATGTGTGTGTGTGTGTTTGGTTGTACATATTCAGCTATTTATAAATACATTGACAACAAAAATCAGCTGCTAGGCTGCTGCAGTGCGAGCCCCCAAACACGGGCAAGGGGCTGGGCTGGTTTCGTTTGTTGGGGCTTTGGCTGTTGCTGTGTGCCTCGTCGCTCAGTAAAGTGCCAGACACCGTGCGGATCTGGACACCAGCCAGCCAGTTTCCTCTATAAAAAGACAACGTTTTCGCACAGAAAAAAGAGCTAAAGAAAAGCGACGTTAGCGTTATGTCAGCTTTCTCCAAAATATTGCTCTTGAGGGGAGGTAAGTACATAAATATATGCAGGATTATGTACATACACACATATGTACATATACGCTTATATATGCTTAATGATCATTAACTGTGAGTGGACTTAAGCAAAATATAGTTTGAGTGCAAACAATTTTAGAACTTGCAAACATATGTACATAAATATGTATGTACGAGTGCTCTAATCGAACATTTTTGCATGTAATATTGAGATTAGACTTTCAATCAAATTGGTTTTCAATTGGTCGAGAAGCCTATTTATGTATTCTATATGAAAGTGCTGATTAATTGGGATTCTGTAAATATGGAAGCTGACCAGAAAAATTCGTATTTCGATTGATACATTTAATTATGTAGAAATGAATATTATTTGAATATTTCCTCCCTATACTGCACAGCAGGCGGACGTCACTATAGCGCCGCAGCACAGACACAACTGCGCGAAATACTTGGCACCCAGCTGGCTGGCATCAAGGACGCGGGCACCTTCAAGGCAGAGCGTATCATCACATCGTCGCAGAGCACCCAGATCACGGTGCAGGGCAGCGAGAAGCGTATACTAAACTTCTGCGCCAACAATTATCTGGGACTGGCGGTAAGTTCTTTGCTGTTGTTATAGTTGTACCTATTCTAAGACTTATTGTTTGTTGGCAGAACAATCCTGAGATTGTGGAGTATAGCCGCACGCTGCTGGAGAAATACGGAGCCGGTCTGAGCTCGGTTCGTTTTATCTGCGGCACTCAGGACATTCACAAGCAGCTGGAGCAAAAGATTGCCCAGTTCCATGGGCGTGAGGACACCATTCTCTATGCCTCGTGCTTCGATGCCAATGCTGGCATTTTCGAGGCCATTCTCACGCCGGAGGATGCTGTCTTCTCGGATGAACTGAACCACGCATCGATCATTGACGGCATTCGCCTGTGCAAGGCCAAGAAGCAGCGCTACAAGCACCGCGACCTGGCCGACCTGGAGCGGCAGCTGCGGGAGAGCGACGGACGCCTCAAGTTGATTGCCACCGATGGCGTCTTCTCGATGGACGGAAATATAGCGCCGCTGGCACGGATTGTCGAGCTGGCCAAGAAGTACGACGCGTTGGTCTTTGTGGACGAGTGCCATGCCACTGGCTTCTTTGGCGCCACCGGACGCGGCACCGAGGAGTACGACAATGTCATGGGCGAGGTGGACATCATTAACTCCACGCTGGGCAAGGCTCTGGGTGGTGCCTCGGGTGGCTACACCACTGGACCCTCGGAGCTCATTTCCTTTTTGCGACAGAAGTCTCGGCCGTATCTGTTCTCCAACACTCTGCCGCCTGCTGTCGTGGCTGTGGGACTGAAGGTCATGGACATGCTGCTGGCCTCCAGCGAGCTCACGCAGCGCGTGCAGAGCAACACGCAGCGCTTCCGGACAGCCATGACCAAGGCTGGCTTCACCATAGCCGGCGAGAATCATCCCATTTGTCCTGTGATGCTGGGCGATGCTCGACTCGCCTCCAAGTTTGCCGATGAGATGCTCAGTAAGTCGAACAAAGTGCAGGTCCGTTCTCCTTGCTTATTCTTCCATTTTCCTTTTGCAGCTCGTGGCATTTATGTGATTGGCTTCAGCTACCCGGTGGTGCCTCAGGGCAAGGCACGGATACGCGTGCAAATCTCCGCTGCCCACACAGAGGCTGAAATCGATCAGGCCATTGGTGCCTTTATAGAGGTTGGTCGCTCGCTCAAGGTGATCCAGTAGGACGAAAGCATCTTGGAACGGCTTCTTGCATTTAAACAAAAGGAACTGCATTGCATTTATCTAAAGAATTAAATAAATTTTAAAGATTTCCACTGAGGGAAAAGATTGAACGCCTCGCCTCATTGCTTATGGTGTTGCTTTATTTGGTTCGTAAGATTAACTAAGGATCCTTTACTAAGTAAACGATAAACTGCTGCAGTTGAACTTAAGCGTAGATTGCACGATAAATGGATAAATGAATAATGACTGGCCATGCATCCAGTAAATGCAGGCGCCAAGAAAACGCCGCAAATACGTGAGCTCATGGCTCACCGCGAATATGCGTATAAATAATTGAGTAACAAATAATAACAAAACAAATAAACAATCAATCAATAAGGAAAGCGTTGACCTTCTTGACTATAATACAACAGATGCTGTAAGTCTTGTGGGGCTGTGGCGGTGGCTTCAAACAAAAAGGAAACTTTTACAAAGCGCTTGCAAGAGTTGTGAAGAGGCAGCTGCAGATTGGGCTGGGCGTAAATCGGTTGTACATATTGCGTTCTGTGACTATGAACTACTTTGGTTAGTGTGATTTTTGCGAATGAGATTGATTAGATTCGAGTCGTGTGGGGCGCCCCACGCTGGATTACTTATTGACGAGGCCGCGTGCCTTCGGGTAGGCCGAAGCTGGCTTTTTGGCCGGAATGCGACCCGTGGGCGGACGTCGGTTGGAGTCGAGCGTTGTCGCAGCACTGGGCAGACCACGGCTGGACTTTATGTTGCGTACATTGGGCATTGGTACACTGCCGGCAGTGCTGGCGGCCAGCGATCCAGCACCAGAGCCAGACACCCCATTGGAGCTGGAGTTGGCGTTGATGATGTTCTCAAGCCGACTGCGCAGCGAGTTGGTGTGCGAGTCCACAATGTCGATGTCATCGCCGCCCGTTTGCATGGCCTGGGCTAGCACCGCCTGCAGCGAGGCGGACACTTTGGGCGTGCGATACTCCTGGGTGGTGCGGCACGGCATCTCCAGCTCGTAGCTGACTATGTTCTCGCTCTTGAAGCGCAGCGAGCTGGGCGCATTGGACTTGGCCTCCTGCAGCGCATGCTCGGATGTGGGCCGTCGGCGCTGTGGATGGGACACGGGCCGTCTGTTACCTTGCCTGCCATCGGCGGACGGTGGCAGTGGCAGGGGAAGGGAGGAAAACTTCCACTCCTCCTGCTCCTCGTCGTACTTGGCCTGCGTGTAGAGGCGCTGCTTCACCTCGATGGGCACAAAGTTGTCAATGATGAGCAGCTGGCGCTTCAGCTCCTTGACCAGCTCGTTCTGGGCCATCTCCAGCTCACGCAGATCCTGATTGTGATCGTGCTTGCAGTCATTGAGCTCCTGCTGCAGGGCCAGGTACTTGGCATAGCACTTGGACAGCTTGCGCTTCTTCAGCTCCACTTCCTGCTCCAGCGAGACGTTTCGCTCTCGAATCTCCAGTGTGGTCTCCTCCTGCAGCTCCAGCTGCTGCTGGATCTCGATCTCTCGCTTCTTGCGCTCCGCAATCTCCACCAGCTTCTTCTCCAGCTCGATCTGACGCTCGCTGTACGTATCCAGCAGGTTCTTGCCGCCGCGCACCAGCTGTCCCTCCAGTTCGGCAAGTTTTGCCGCCAGCTTGGCGTTCTCGACGCGCTCACGCTCCAGCTCTTCGTTGGACTTGGCCACCTCGGCCTCATTTTCCTTGTCCGACGCGGACTCTGCCCCATCGCCATCGCTGTCCCTGTCCTCGTCCGCCTGCAGTTCCGCCGTTGAGGCCTGCAGGGCACTGCCCGTGTGTTCCTGTGTTTGGGGTTCCTTTTTGGGCTTCTTGACGCGCTGCTTCTTGATGGTGCCCTGCTTCTCGCTGCGCTGCTGCTGTTGCGGCGCAATCAGACGCTTCAGCCGCTCGATCTCCTCCTGGTACTCCTTCAGCTTGGCATCCTGCGGATCCTCGTTCTTGATCGGCTGATTCTGTATGGATTTGGCCCGCGAGGCATACCGCAGCGTGGTCAGCGTCTCATTGTAGTTGTAGTTAGATGGCCCAATGTTGGCAATCATAATCGTCTTTGAGTTGCCGCCCAGCGAGTCCTGCAGCAGACGCGTCAGCTTCGAGTCGCGGTACGGCACATGGGGCGAGCTCTCGGCCAGGGCGGAGATCACGTTGCCCAACGAGGAGAGCGCCAGATTGATTTTGCTCGCCTCCTTCAGCCGCTCGGCGGATGCGCCCGTCTTCGACTGTCGCTCGCTGCCAGCCAAATCGATCAGATTCAGCTTGCCCACCTTAATGGTGTTCGTCTCCGTGTCGCACATCTCGATCTTGATCATGAAAATGGCATGTGAGCTGTGCACCAGAGGGGGAAGGATTTATAATTACTTCCTCATCAATCGTAGATTATTGAATTACTCACCGCGAACTGTGCTCGTTCATGTTGGTGAATCCCACCGTGCGATTCTTGTTGCCCACCTTCATGACACGGATCATATCGTCGACGCTCTTGCAGTTGATGGCATGCAGATTGGGCACATAGACCCCGGAGCCGCGTTCCCGCACCTCCAGGTGCTTCGAGTTGGGCTTCAGCAGATCGCGCAGCTCCTCCATGTAGATCTCGAGGTAGGAGACATCCACAAGAAACTGAAAGTTCTCCGTGCGGTTGATGTGCAGCCAGATCTGCTCAAAGGTGCGAGGAATGATGCCCATGAGGTCGTCGTTGCCGCGCACTCCCTCCATGGTGAAGGTCTTGCCGGTGCCCGTCTGGCCATAGGCGAATATGCAGCCATTGAAGCCCTCCAGCACGGAGCTAACCAGAGGAAAGACCACCTCGTGGTAGAGTGTCGTCTGCGAGGCGCTGGCATCGTAGGCGGCGTCGTAGGTGAAGACCTTTCGCTGCTCCTTGTTGGCGTCCACCACATTCTGCAGCTCCACCACGCCCCTGTTTGGATAGACATTTACCACTTCCGGGGAGCCCTCGGTGCGTTCGCGATTGCTCATCGGTCGACATCGCACAACCACCTGGACGCATTCGTTCGGTGTCTGGCTACTGGCGGTGCCAGGGCGCCTGCTCTTGGCACTCATAACCGCAGCTGTTGTGTGTCTTTTTGTGCTCTCGTGTGACTAAGGCAGCCTTGCCTCTCCCTCTCCACGCACTCTAGCCTGAAGTGGAAGCAGTCACTGGGGCGACGACGGAAAAACAAATGACGAATAAAATCAATAATTTCCTCCTGAAGCAAACCCTTGGGGAAAAGCCCAATATCTAACACTCTTGAGACTGGCTCAAAGCGTGGCTTTCTTATTGCAATATTAGCAATGGATCGAACATAGTTTAGCAGCAAATGATTAATTACCTGTTATTTTTTTAAGCCAATTACTTCACCTTGAATACGTTTTTTTCTGTTTCGTTTCAGCTGCTGCGGCCTACAAGCGATTACGATATCAAGCATGTATCGCTACGGTAGTATCGATAAATAAACAATAAAATGTTTTACCGATACTTTTCAAACGTTTGAAGATGGAATTTAATTTATTTCTTTTTATTGGAATTTGATTTACTGGATGAGCCGGTGTTGGCGCCTCGTTTGCGTTTATTGAGGGGATTACGCGGATCGTAGGCATCGTACCAATCATCGCCCTTGCTGTTTGCATCCTTGGCCAGCACGGGCACTGTGCTGTTGAAATTTAAGGTGTGCGCCAGCCAGTCGTCTCCCACAATTTCCTTCTCCACTGTTCCGTTGTCCAAGCTCTTTGGCTCCTCCTGAGCCGCATCTGCATCACCATCCTCAGCGCCATCCTTGTGCTTCAAGCCAGCCACTTTGTTGCGAAATTTGGCCAACAGCTGCAGTGTGAATTCCTCCCTGACAAAGAGTGAAGAAAGAATGAAATCGATGGCAGAAACATAACACGAAACTGATCCCACCTGGACTGCCCCTTGGGTTGCAGCTTTCCCTTGGCGGTGTATATCTCCTTTGACTCTATAAAGTCGTTGATGTAATGATTTTCGCTGCCGCCCTTAATGTTCGATTCCTTTACAGTCTTCTCCGGGCCATTGGCCAGCTTATCCTTGCTGATTTTGTCCATTTGATATTGCTTCTTCAGCGAAGCAATTTCTTCGCGAATTTTTGTTCTGCAAATGTAAATTCGGAGGTAACTAAAGAGTGATCAAATCAGTATTTTGATGATTCCTACTTCTCCTTGGATATCTTAAGTCTTTGTTCTTGCTCTCGGGTCATTAGCACATCCTCCTCCTCCTCCGGGTCACTCTCCACAACGACAGGCTTTGTAGTCTTCTGGGTACGTGCAGCTGATGTCTTGGAGAGTTTCATTTTGATGAGTTCGGAGTAGTTGCCAGTGGAAGACTTGGCCTTGCCACTGTCCTCCTCCTCATCATTGTCATTCGGCAAGGGCTCCTCGCTATCAGCCCGCTCCTGCTTGGGCACTTGAATCGGTTCCTTGCTTAGCTTCGGATCATCTGCGACATCGTGCAGCGATTTGGCCTTTCCGGCGTTCTGCTTAACGAACACATTGGTCTCCACCTCATCGCCCTCGGCCTCTTCACCAAACGAGAGTAGGCCAAAGTTTCTGCAATAAAATGACAAATTTTCAATGGAAATAAACAGAAAATATACCTCTTGCACACTCACTTGACGCCCTGTCGTTCTTTCTTGACTTTTTTGCTCTTCTCTGCTTTGGCAATGGCGCGCGGCACAATGTCGTCGAAGGGATTGGTGAGCACCTCGGTGGACATAATGCGATGTGCGTGCATGGGCCGCTCCTGGTGGTCCACAATGCCATCCTCCAGCTTCAGCATGTTGTAGATTGTGTCGCCCGTGACCTTGCCGAAGAGTGTGTTCTTGCTCTGCAGCTCCGGAGTCTCGGCAAACGTGAAAAAGAACTGCGAGGCGTTGTCATCTTTGCCCGAGTTGGCCATGCCCACCAGGCCGCGGCGCGTGTACCGCAGTCTCGAATGAAACTCGTCCTTGAACGGCTGTCCGTAAATGGACTCGCCGCCAGTGCCATCGCCATTGGGATCGCCGCCCTGCACTATGAATCCTTTTACCATGCGATGGAAGACAGTATTGTTGTAGTAGCCCTCCAGGCATAGTTGCACAAAGTTGCGGCACGCCTTCGGGCACTCTCTGGCCCAGAGCTCGATGTCGATGTCGCCAACTGTGGTCTTCAGCAGAACCTTGCCCGACGTGGGCGGCTCCTGGATGTATATATTACTCATTTTGTATTGTCGTTTGTTAAATTAAAGCCAAAACGGAGAGAGGGACATCCAACAATAACAAAATTCGCTGTTGTTGGTGATGTGCATATGTTGGTGCTGTCAAATATCGATATTTGGGTGCGATAATTATCGTCAGATGCGTTTCTAGGCAACCGTTTTGCTTTTGATTTCCGTAATTTTTTGTCAGAAATAATTCAATTGAGAGAGAATTTCCGAATTAATAATGAATTTCAACGACGACCCTTTGGCGGATCTGCTTAGCGATAACAGCTTGGACAACGACAACTTCTTTGAGACACCAGCTGGTGTTGGCCACAAGAAAACGCCGAAAATCGCCAAAGCCAAGGGCAAACTGGAAGATCTCTTTGGAATACAAGAGGAAACGGAGACGGACGTGCAGAGCCCATCCACGTATGGAGCCAAGGGCAATCCCACCGCCACGAGCACTCCACGCATTGTCAAACAGAAGCCTTCCCTCTCCCTCGATGACGATGCGGGCGATGATGATTTGGGCTTTGATCCCAAGCGCCCCAAAAGTGGCGGCGCGAAGAAGAGTCTTTTTGATGATCTGCTCGGCGTCGCGGAGCCCAAAAAGAACTTATTCGATGATATATTGAGCGGCGGCGATGCCGCAAAGCGTCCGGCTACTGCAAAGCCATCAATTTCCCGCCAGTCGACAGACACCACCACGGAGAACTCGCAGGCGCGCCCCAAAACCTCCACGGGACGGCGCAGCTCCGCGCAATCGGCCACGATTAATGCGGATCCCCTGGGACTCTTTGGCAGGGACACGAATGCCACCGTTTCGGGCATGTCCACGCCGGTGTCCAAGAAGCGGGGCACAACAGCGGACTGGCTGGGCCTGGAAGCGGCTGCAGCAGCCGTGGAACAGGAGCGACCCTCCACACCACAGCAGCAGCAACAGCTGCCTGCCAAGGAGCCTCCTGCTCCTGCTGAAGCAGCAGTGACAGCTCCCAAGCAAACTGCAGACATTCTGCGAATGCCTGAGACCGACGAACCGGAGCAGTATCTGTCCTCAGAGCAGCCTCTGGTCCCAGTAACTGCGGTCAATCCGGCCACGCAGAGCATCCTCTTGCTGAACAGTCTGAACCTGGAGACGGGCTCCAAGTTGAATGCGCTGCAGCAGCAGGAGGGGCAGCTGGTCATCGCAGCGCAAATGAAGAGCCAGGAGCGCACCCTGCTGGAGATGCAGCGGCGACAGGAGGCACAGGATCGCAAGTTCCAGGCGCTCATTCAACAGCAGCTGCAGCGCCAGCAGCAGATGGAGGAGCACATCAAGGGGCAGCAGGAGCGCATCAGCATGCACATTCAGCTGATGATGGCTCAGCCCGTGCATGTCCAGCCGCTGGAGGAGCTGCCGGCGGTACAAAAGCCAGCGCTGGACTTGCAGCAGGAAACGGCCAGCAGGGAGGAGCACAAGGAACACCAGGAGCAAGAACTGATGCACCAGCTGCAGCTGGAGACCGAAGCCAAGCGAAATCTGCTGGAGAAGCTGCGCTTGGAGGAGCTGGTGGCCAACATGAAGGTCAACTACGAGCAGGAAGTCGAAATGATTGAATCCACATACAAGTAAGTAGCCAACTGATACCCTGTAAGCGCTCCAATGGTTCCCTTTGGTTGCAGAAAGCAGCTCAAGGTGCTGGAGGAGCACTTGGCCGCCGTAGAGGAGCGACTGAAGACGGAGAACAGCGACTTAAGGCAACACTTTGTCGACAAGCTGGAGCAACAGAAGGCCGACTATGTGGAGCAGTTGTCCACGCTGCGGCAGGATCACGAGGATGAGGTGCGCAAGCTGCGCAACTCGCACGAAATGGATCTAGAGGGCATACGGCAGGCCAAGCTGGTGGAGCTGTCGGCGGTCCAGGATCATGGCAACTACCTGGAAACGCTGCGCCTTGCCTCGAGCAACCTGCAGGAGCTGCGCGATGGAATGAGCAACAGCCAGGACAGGGAGCGACTGCTGGAGGCGCGCGAGCGGCGCTTGGCCGACCAGGAGCGCCGCCTGAAGATGAACGAGGAAACGGCCGTCGAGGAGCAGCGTCGGCTCATGGAGTTGGTGAGCACGCTGGAGCTGCAGCTGGGCCGCCTCTCCAAGGACTCGGCGGAGGAGAACTGGCAGCTGCGACAGCGCATGGCCAGCCTGGACGCCGAGCGCAAGGCTCTCGAGCGCGAGAAGCAGTTCCACAGAGAGCAAATGGAGCGCGACGAGAAGCGAGTCGAGGAGCTGAAGGCCATTCAGCTGGCGGACACGGAGCGACTGCAGCTGGAGCTGCAGCAGGAGCGCAGCCAACTGGCCGTGGAGCGGCAGCAGCTGCAGCTGAGGCACAAGCTGCAGGAGCATGGCGGCAGCTTCGACCAGGATCGTCTCGAGCTGGAGGCTCAGCTAAAGGTGGCCCGGGAGGCCATCAGGCGTGCGGACCAGGAGCGGGATCGCTGCCACAAGCTGCAACGCGAGGTGGAGGCACGCAAGCGCCAGCTGGCCGACAAGGAGAACGATCTAAACCTGAAGGAGGATGAGTTGGCGCAGTCCACCGGTGCGTATCGGATGGCCACCAGTCGAACCCAGATGGCGGAGCAAAAGGCACGCGAGGCGGACCAACTGCTGCAGGCAAAGTTGCAGCTGCTGGGCAAGCGGCATCACGATCTAAGCGAGAAGGAGGCGCAGCTGTCCCAGGAGCGCATGCTCCTCGCCCAGGACCGCATTGCGATGCACAACCTGAAGAAGCAAATCCTCCGCAGCCGATGCGCCCTTTGCAAGATGGGCTCGGAGAGCGCCGAGTTGGCCCTTCGAATTGACCGAAAATCGAAAAATGCGACCAACATGGATCTCCATTTGCCCCCCATGCCGCTCAGCAATGCCGAAATGCTGCTCCACATGGAACCGGGCGAGGCACAGAGCGACATTGTCGACCGGATGTTGGATGACAACATTAAAGCCTCCTATCGCCGCATGTACAATGTGTCGGGCTCGGACGACGTCGGTTATGGTCTGGCAGGTGGCCTCGACGACGACTCCAAGGTGGCTGGATTATCCGTGGATAATAATGGCAAGCTGACGGATCCGGAACTGGAAGCCTTGCTATCGAAATTTAAACATGGATTTGCCCCGTGATCTATGCCAGTGGCTGCACATAAACAAAACCTAATGTAGTTAATAATAATTAAAATTTCACTTTTGAAATATAAATCGATTTCAACCGGCAGCAATAAGACGAACTGCAATATATATTGTATAAATTGTAGACACATCGTTAACCTTCTATCGATAAGTATCGCTGTATTTGCGGTTGGTAGCTTGTTGCATTCCGTTTTGTGTTTTTTCCGTGTTATTTTTATGTGTTTCTGCCCCGCGCGAGACAACAACAAATGATTGTTTTTATGTAATTTAATAATAATGTAACTCGTACGTGTAGTGCCTAAACATAACGTCTAAACAAAGTGCAAGTTGATCAGTATTTTCGTGTATTACGCTTACGTTTTGTATGCCCATTCCGTTTTTTTGTCATCGTCTCGTCTTGTGTGTCCGTGTGTACGCCTTTCGTATTCGTTTTGTATTTAGTAAGTAGGTGTGTGGGAGACAACTTCACCTCAATAATTCAGCGTCAGCATAGACGTTAAGCAATGAAATAAACCATTAAAATAACAAGAGAAGCACCACAATTTCTCCTCTGTACATGAAACTTCCAAAGAGGGCGGCTATACATACATAATATTGTGCGGAATAAGTGAAATTACAGCCGAAAAGATCTGAGGTGACACCTTAAAAATCAAGTAAGTGGCTGTGGCGTCTGACGAACAAGGCGAATAAGCATAAATGAAGAGGAATGCCTATTAAATGTGTGTGCAAATGTTAATGCTTATGTATGGCTTGTGTATCTGCATACATTAATGACACTCCATTATCATATTCGTTCTTCCTCCGTCTCTTTTACTCCCTTCGCTATGTACATGGAGTAAATGTGTGTGTGTGCTTGTATTTCGTCAACTAGTTTTATAATTCGCGAAACTATTGCTCTACATTTGGCCGCTCATAAAAAAAGAAGCAGCTCAATTTATTGCAATCAATTAATTTGACTGCCATTTTGCATTTGTGTGCGTGCTCCTATTGATTTACCACCTTAACCTTTGCCGTAACTGAAGGTTTTCTTTTTGCGTCTCTTGCCGGTTGCTGTTTTCTCTTATCTTCTGCTCCTTCGCGTTTCGCATTCAACGTTTCTTGTGTGTGTGGGTGTGTGCGTGTGAATACGTTCAGCATCTGTGTTTATGCTGAACAGCTGTTGCCCCGTCTCGCGTACAGTGGGTCAAAAAAGATAGGGGATACATTAAGAAATAAACTGGGGCATAAGTGAATTGCAATAGTGCCTTTAAATAGTTGGAGTTGGTAAACAAACGCAATAAGAAGCCAGTAAAATAATTGTAACACCCGCTGGGCGAATATTGTGTAAATGAGGAGCAGTCCTGTTACTGCACAACACATATGCATGTGTAATCTCTCTGTGGGGGAATGGTTACCCACTCGCGGCATTCATTCACACAATTTATGATTGTGGTCATGAATTACGATTGCATGCGTACATGCATACTTCCCTTTGATCTGCTCAACCACTACTGATGAATGGTAATCGCAAAAAGAACACAAAATGTAGCTCATATTTGTACATTTGGGCTTATCATATTCGTACTTCCTAAACAAATGTAACTATTTCGTAATATTTTGTTTGTACATTTCGCTATGATAGACGATAGTTCAAACTCTAGTTGCCAGTTGGGATAGGGTTATAGCTCCATCTTTCGGCACTTAATCTTAGGCCAATTCAAACATCTGTTCCTCCAATCTCTCCAATCAATTTGCTAGCAACATGAAATTGTTGAATTTTTGAATCAATTGCGTCCAAGTTTATCACAACTTGCAATCAATTTGTTAAATGAAGTTTCTTCGACTGGTTCATGTGAATCATTTTCCCTCTCGCTATCGTTCCCTGCCGTTACCTTTTGTCTATTCTCTATCAGTACCTCATAAAAACCTGCTCTTTTCCCGGCCAGTTGTTACACCTGTTCCTCATACATATGGCCTATTCACACCACCTCCAATGGCACACCGTTCCCTAACCTTTTCACTGTGCACTGACAGCGACACACATAACGACCTGCCTGCACCTTTACAGGCCATAATCACTTTTATCTACAGATTTCTTTATCGCGGCAACACGCAGAATGGCAGATAAGAGAAACAAAGCACACGACAGTCGGTAAAGTTCGGCAAAGCAGAGAGTGTAGCATTTTTGGACAAGCCAAGTAGAAATTTAAAGAAAAACAAAATTCCCAGTAGCTCACAGCTCCTTTGTGTGTGTTTCCAGATTTTGACGTGAACGAGAACATCGCGGGACGAGTGACGCTGCTGCTGTGGGGATAATATGTCAAACCAGGGCCAAACCGACTATGACAAACAATTCCAGGATGACTTGGCCAAGGCGACAGCACTGAGCTTGGAGCAGCAGGCCCTCGACGACTACAGGCGTAATAAGAAGTACGGCTACCATTCGGGTGTACCCAGCGCCGTAGCTGCGCGGGATTACTATGCCCAGCAGCGTAGTCAGAGCGTCAACCAGCGTCGGCACTCGGAGGTGCACAGGACTACAGCCGCGTCCAGCAATGTGGAACGTTCACGTACTCCGCCGGCTCAGGTGTCCGACAGCGACCTCATCTGCTTTGCTAGTCCCACCAGCAAGCAGCCGGAGAGCGGCACCACCTTCGAGAGGCTGATTGAGGATCTGCAACGGATGCAGCCACCAAATTCGCACTCGCAGGCGCTTGTGCCAGTGGGACAGGCAGCTGCTGCTGTGCCCCCGCAATACGGCTATCCGCAGCATCAGGCTCAGGCCCAGCAGCCGCCGTATGGAATCGTGGGCACAGCTGGCGGCATGCAGCTGGTGCCGTATCAGAACTCGTCGCAGGCACAACAGCGGCCACTGAGCAACGAGGAGCTGCAGCGGCTCTACAGCATGCCCAACCAGGTGGCCGTACAGCCGGTGCAGGCGGTGCCCACCGCTTACCTCTACTACCCCGGAGCAGTGGTAGCGCCCTATACGGCTCCCATTGTGCCTGGCTCGGCTGCATTTATGCCGCCGCAGTATCCACAGACGCATGGCTTCGGTTTTAGGCCTGTGTACCCGGGAGCGAGCACCCACATGGATTTGGGTCGTCCGCAGTCCACGCCAGTACCAGGAGCAGCCAGCATTAGCAGTCACCATCCGTCCAGTAGTCCTGTCACTGTCGAGGCCAATGGCGTGAAGCCACGACGTCAAGTGCCTTTGGGCGCCAGCAGCAGCAACAACCTCAGCAACAGCTCCAACGGGCAACAGCAGCCACCCAAACGCACTGGTAACGATTTGATAGACCTCAACCAAGAGGACTAGTATGTATCAACGTCTAGTTTTATCCTTTTGGAATGTTTTGCTAACCTGTGACTCTCCCTTTTGCTGTTGCAGCTCACGTGTGAGTGTACTGGAGGCATTCGATCCGCTGCTAAATGAGAACACTGGTAAGCCCAACCTGAAACATAATCCACCCAATCTCCTGGTAATTGCTAACCCCACAAGAGACTACTGACTGTGAACAACTCGTAGAGTGAGATTTTGCGGTTCCCCAGTTAGATATTTATAGTTTTTTGGGGTAAAAGGTATCTACGGTGTTCGAACAATAGCTAAATCCAAACCCAATCCCTCTCCTTTGTAGCTCGAGATCGTTTTTGTAGCAAGTGTGTGTTGGTTGCTCCAACTTGGATACGAATTAAACTGAATGTTTTCTGTTTTGTTTTCTCTCTTTCTCTCTCTCTCTCTCTCTGTATTGCAGCAGTGTCGCAAAAGTAACCCAATTTTAATTGAAAGTCCTACCTACTACTACACTACTTATCCGCAAAACTACTTTACACAATCCACAACAAGTACAACACCATCTAACTGGTTTCGGTGCGGTACGGGTGCGGTTCGTTTTGGTTACGGAATCCAACATATTCGTGTCTTAGGCAGCACGCACTTAGAACCACCTACTTACTTATACACACTACACTTTATGAAACTTATTTTTAAATCAAAAGGCTGACTTTGTGCCTTGTGCCATCCACACACACACCACACCACACACATCACATCACACACACAGCGGAAGGTACCCCCAAATACGATCCACAAACGATCAAATATTTATTTTTTCAAAATTTAAGACCAAAGTATTGAAAGAAGTCTTCTAAATGTGGAAGAATGTTTATATTTTATGTAGTTCTTCTGAAGTCACTTCCTTTTTATGTTTTCCTTTTAAAATGTATTTCGAAATGAACAGATTGTGATGTCATTTATACATTAATATATAAATACCAATATAAATACATACATAACATATGTTTAGTTCTATTCGTGTATCCATTATGTGAGACAAAACAAATAAATAATTCCTTGAACAAATTCCAGTCTCTTGTTGTTTTATTAAACATCCTTCCTGCCGCCTTGCCGCCTGTCTCTTGCCTTGCTATTAATGCCCCTCGTTTCCCACTAGCACACATTATATATCTGTCTGTCCGTATCTGTATGTCTGTCCGTTGAGCAACCATTTATGTATGTATTTATTATTATATATTACATTTGAGAAAGATTGGATTTGGGGTGGAGATATTCTAATTCCAATATTTTAACAATTGGGTTTCGGGCAAGTTTCTTTTAAAACTTTTTCTAATACTAGCTCCTAATCCATTCTAATATTTCTGGTATGTGGAAATTGTTCTGTAAAGTATCCAAAGTCTTATGACACTTTTAACACCAACCTTTGGGGGATTAGAAGCAAAATCCCAAACAAAAGGCAGTCAGTAAATGCAAAGATTATTTAGAAATTTCAAACTTCTATTGAAAGTCGAACGCAAATAATAATTTAGTTTCGAAATTTCTTAGAAAGCTTAACTCCCTATAAACTTCCAAAAAGGTCACAGCAATATTTAAAAATCCAACAAAAAAATATGGAAAAAATACCACAAATGCTTCGGAAACTTTTCCCATTGTGAGAATTTCGTTTGCATATTTTATAATTTTCTTTGAATTGATCTGGCAATGGGGATATTCTCACTTGTTAAATATTAATCTTAAGTTGCA